GAGGGGGATGGAGGTGGGTGGAGTCATCTGAAAGGAGGTGGTGGGCTGGAAGCCAATTCAGAAAGAGCTGTCATACTTGCCATAAACAGTGCCCCCTGTCAAAGGCCTTCCAACCACTACTTCCACCAAAACCACTCTCAGGGGCCAAGGATTTAGCTTGGTGTGCCTGCCTGGTAAGCATGAAGTCCTGAGTTTGATCCCCGGTACTGGAGGTGGGGGGTGGATACAAAACCACTTTTAAGACTCAGGGTGGGGAACTGCTCTGTGTGGCCTTAAAGGCCCAGGCTCCCAGAGGAGGCGCCTCCTGGCAGCTGCAGACAGTGGAGGCAGACAGCAAGGAAGAGGCCTGCCTCTGTGCCCTCTGGGAGGTGTCCTCACCTGTGCCCTGCTTACCTCTCCACCCACACACCATGACAAGTGTGCTTTACATAACAAGTGTGCTGTAACCATTTTCCTGCACATAACTCACTCAAACTGAACAGCCCCTTGAGATAAATGTTGTTATCAACCTTCATCCTATACAAGGAGAATCTGAGCTCAGAGAGGTTCTTCTGTGGCTCACCCAAGGTCATATAGCAAGGGATCCACAGAGCAGGCTAGAATTCAGGTCTTCCTCATGGAAGCACAGGCCCTTTTACCACATTGAGTGTAAGGTAGCAAGAGGGAAGAGGAAGGGGTGTTTTTACTCCCCTGCTAGACCAAGAGGAAGGCTCTCAAAGCCAAAAGAAAGGTCTCCTTCCCACACTGCCTGCACCAAGGCAGAAAGCCAGCCTTCTTCCCTGGCCTACACAAAGGGCTCCCGGAAAGCATCGCTGGGTGAGCCACTGGGCCCTGCCCTGGGCTATGGCAACAGGCCCTCCTGCCTGCATTGTCACCCTGGCTGTGCCTGCTGCTGGTGGTGGAAGCTCTGTGTGTTAGTGAGGTAGGAGGGCAGGTGGGTGGCAAGCTGAGCCTGAGCTGCAGGGAGCGGAGGAAAACTGGTAACCTGCAAAGGGGGACTATGGGGTGGAGGTGGGGGCGGGGTAGAGCTCGCTCCCTGTCACGTCCTCGCTCACTTGCTCAGCTCGTGCACATGGAAAGAGAAGAGAAGGGAGGGGCTGGCTCTGGGGTAAGAGGGACTCCTGTCCAGGCTGATACCACTACCCTTCGCCTGGGCCTGGTGGGCTGAGTCTGCCCACAGGGAGCTGCCCTTGCTGTCAGCAGCCCACTAGCACACAGCTGCTTCACGTACTGCCGGGGTGGCTCAGCATCACCTCTGACTCGTGGTGATTCACACTGGACAATGCAGGAACGCCCAGCACCCTGTCCTGTAGTGTGTCCTATCCCTGCCCTCAAGGAAGCGTCTGACACAATGTGAGCCCTCTGAGTCTGACGCGTGCTGGCGCTGACAGGGGCAGGCAGAAAGGTGTTCTGCTCTGAGATGGAGCAAAACTCAGTGTCATGCTGACACTGGTGGTGTCACTTTGTGCAGGCAGCCAGAGGCCCTGTTTTAATCTGATGAGTTTGTACCTGTACAAGCAGTGCAAGAACCTCCTAAGTGTGGTGCCCAGCCATCACAGATGCAACCAAACACAGTCACTCAAGAAATGTCTCCCCTGCTGGTGATATTTATCTCCTACTCTAAGGGACTTGGGCTCGGCCTATCCCAACCACTGTTCCTTCCTGGGAGCTGAGAAAGTGACTCAGAAATTTTTATTTCCCCAGACGGTGCGGGTGAGCCAGTGGCAGTAACAGCGAGCACAGCAGTAGCCGTGACAGTGGAGGAGAAGTCAGCCATTGCTGCAGGTAGGAGTCACCATCTGTGCCACTGAAGCCAGGAAGCTGTGGGTCAATGGCAAGAAGAAGGCACACGGTCATTGCAGGAGGCCCCTGAGGGTGATGTGCTGGGCATCAGTTTCCAGCTATAAGTTGTCCCAGGTGAACTCTGGGAGAAGGAAAGTGGGATCTTCTTATGCCATTTTGTTTGTAAAATCTTAGAGCTCAAAGAATTTGTGAAATGAGTAAAAGGAAATCCACAGAGGTTAAAAAATTGCCCTATGTCACATAGGTCATAGACTTCAACCCAGACCCTCTTCCTGCCCCTTACCTGTAGCTGCCCTCTTTCGCAGCCTTGGGTTCAAGAACTGGGCTTGTGACTCAAACCCCTAAAGCAAGAAGTGCATATGTGTATTCGATCGGCACCAAGTACCATGGAAACCATGTCCTGAGCACTATCTCAACTTGTCCAGGGGCTGACGCAAAGGAGGTGATATATTGGGCTCCATTTTACAGGTGAAAAAACTGAGACACAGGAAAGTTATTGGCCCCAAGTTCCATAGCTAATAGTGGAAGTAGGGTTAGAACTCAGACTGTGTCTCTTTCAAGCCCAGGTTAACTACCTTTTGCTGCAGGTTGCCCCAGGTAATGGGATGAGCTATCCAATAACCCTCACAAGCCTCCCCTGACTTTGTAGCTTCTTGGTGCCTGAAAAGTCCTTGGAATCTGTCTTATTGTTTGAGAACTCTCAGGGCTCTGAGGAAGCCCTCCTTATGCTGATTTCAGCTTCCATGTCCCGGCCCAGCTGTGTTCTGAAGAGGTGTGTGATCCATTGGTCACTCGGCCATCATGGCATCAGGATCATGGCTATTAGGTGTCTCACATCCCAGAGCTCTGGTCAATGGTCAATGGGAGGCCTCTGCAGTCAGGCTGGGCTAGGGAGGCAGGGACCACATGCCACTTCCTCAGGCCAAGTTCAGGTCAGAGGCTTGGAAGGAACAGGATAGGTTCTGTCTTCCTGCCTCAGAGAGGGCTCAAGGCTGTCCTGAATCAGCATCCCAAGCAGAGAGATGGGAAGAGAAAGGCTGAGCATAGCATTGACGGGCAGCCCCAATGGAAATACTTGCATCCCCAGAAGTCCGAGATGCAACTGACAGTATTCAGTAGAGACATGTGGCATTCCAAGTCCCTCCTTCTTTAGCCCACAGCACACAAGTCCCAGGCCCATCTCTAAGAGAAGCCATGACCTCAAACTTATCTTGCTAAAAGTCCTCCTGTGGTCCCAGCCGGACCTGTGTCTATCCTGCTCCCCCTGTACACCCTAAGGCCTAGGAAGGAGCAGGGATACAGGCCAGGCGGCTGCCTGTGCTTTCCTGCACTCTCCAATTATTCGATATCATTTTTAACTCAGGGCTGAATTAGAGCCATGAGGGGTTGCCATGGAAACCATGTCCCAGAGCCTCTAATTTAACTCACTGCAGACAGTCACTCTGCTGCTCTGGGGTGCGCGGATGTGGTAGGAACGGATGAGGCACTAGAGACCTGACATTGCAATTTTTTTTTTTAATCTCACTTTGTCGTTTCTTTCTTTGGTCTATGTATGGCTCAGCCTCCCTGATTCTAGGGCCAGCTAGGCCTATTAATCAAGGAAAAGCAGGTGGTTTGCTTGTGGACCCGGAAAGCTCCAGGAGTGGGTGAGGTTTGTGATGGGGGCTGCATTATGAAGTTGTGTACTGAGCAGGAGAAGGCAGGAGAAGGGGACTCAGTGTCAGGACAAGCCACATGCTGTGTGTGTCCATTTCAGATAGTGCCACAACTTATACAGAAGGCAGGTGGATAAAGAGGAATCCTTGCTATCTGTAAGCAGGTGGGTTTTCAAGAGCTCTTATAAAATATCTAGAAATACAACTTCCAGTCAGGATCTATTTCTAACTCTCAGTGTCCTCTGGATCCTGATCGAAGAGTATGGTCCCGCACCGTGATGGTGGAGCCAGGACAGGCAGACTATGCTCCTCTAGCCATTGGACTTGCAACATATCCTGAAAGACATTCCCACCCCAGCAGAGAGCCATTTCCTGCTGTCCAGAGAGGTCGGAGGACCCTGCCTAAATGTGGATCTAGCCTTCAGACCTCTGAGGGACTCCTTCTGGGAACCATGATGATTAACGTGTGTGTGAACTACAGAGACCTATGTCGGCCCTTTGAGCCTTGTCCTCGCCTCTGAGGTGGGGCTTGGGAAGACCTGTCTGTCTTTGGGTTTGCTATAACCTTTGGAACTATAGGAGAGCAATATCTATTCAGTCCACACACACCTAGGACAACCCAGTTCTGTGGAGCTAGTTGGACTCCAGGGATGGGGGTGGTCCTGATGGTTCTCTTCTCACTGGGCTCTGCCCTGGCTGGCTTGATTGTCATTTGTAGGAAGGCTCCCGGCAGGAGAGAATCTAGCTTAGTCTCTGAAGATCAATAAACTATACAGCCCAGCCTCCCATGGCTACACAGTGAGCCTTGCTCTGCTCACGGACCTGGACTACTAGTTGCAGGGACCTTGCGTGCCAGTCCTTCATTCCAATCCCCACACGATGAGCCCTGTCAGGGAAATCAGACTTGTGAACACCAAGTGTTTTCTGCTTGTGTCAATACTCAGCCTTGACAGGCCACTATGAAAAAGGGTTAAACAGGGCTCTAGTGAACAGGGCTAACAAAATCCAGACAGCAGAGAAGCCCCTTGACCCACCCTCCCTCACTTCCCAGCATCCACAAGATCCTCTGGGCAAACGAAGGCCTCCCACCACACTGGTCCATCTGTCCTTGACTGGCAGGATTAATTCCATCAAGCCACGGTGGATAATCACCCCAGGGCATGGAGCCATAGCTGGCTCTCCAGCTCACCTTCACAAGGCCCAATGCCTCCCAGGGAAACCAGCCAGTGGCCCATGCATCCAGATGTCAGGCCAGAGTGTGGGTAGATTTAAAACTCCATCACATCCGTGCCCCCAGCTTGACACCCCCAGCTGTCCTGCTCTAGGATACTGCCTCCTCTGCTCTCCTGTTAGCAACCTGAGGCCCTGGGCACCAGGCAAGAGGCACCCACCTGTCACATGGAGCTCTGTGCATCACACTGATGTCCCTCAGCACTTCATCCACTGCCTGGGGAGGTGAGGGAGCAGGAAGTGATTTTCTCAACACCCACGTCCCCTTCCCACCCAATGAAACCAGGAAGTACATAGGAAAATACAGTCTTTATTGGTCTTCTGAAACAACAAACCAGAAATATAATTTTGCCTTTAAAAATCTTCTGTCTCAGGCTAAAGATACCACCACTGACAACACCCTTCCCTCCCCCCAGCCCTTTAGAAAATTCCCAGATCTGGTATCAGCCCACAAGCCCAAAGAGAAAGGAAGACTGTGCCTGAGCCGAGGGGGCATGTGATCTGGATAAGCAGCCTGCTGAGGTGCCCTCTGTCCCCCTACTGGAGACAACCTTCTTAGGGCTCTCCACACACTCCTTCTATCACGCTCCTCTTTGAGTAGGGAGGGTTGGAGAGAGATCCTGCTCTGGCACCTTCAGAGTTCTAGCTGGCCTCTTCCTGTGCTATCACCAAGATCCCTACTTTAGAGCCAGAAGCCAACCTGGTACCTCCTGAGCCTCTCTGACTATGAGGAAGTGGGGTTCAGCAGAAGGGGACCATGAGAAATCAGACTCCGAAGGAGGGGGCAGCCTAGAACTAGAGTCAAATGCCCTGAAATCTACCTGACTGGGGGCAGGTGTCTGTGTCCCTGGCCCACCCTCTAGTTTGGACTACAGTCCAGCTGCAATTAGAAGCCCTGCTAAGCAAACAAAACCACTATCTTTACCCAAGAAGGAGGCCTTAACACTGAGGCCTCTGCATAGGATGTGACAGTCCTGTCCCTGCTTCTGGTGTCTGTTAGTGATGCATTGGTGAGTTTGAGCCTCTACAAGGGCCACTGTGCCATCTGCCTGCCATCTGCTTCCCCCAAGGAGGACCACAACCCAGCCCAGTGCTAGCCCTGAGGTCACAGGCAGAAGATGCTGGAGATGGAGGGAGTGGAAGGTGCGAAGGAGCAGAGCTGAGGCTGCAGGCTACAAGGGTGAAGGTGGAGGGTGTTCCCTGGGGCCTGACAATGAGGATGAACCTGGCAGCTCAGAGGAAACACCCAGAATATGAAGCTGGGCTCTCAAGAGGCTGCCATTTACATAGGCAGCAGCCTGCAGGCCTCTGGGCCACGTCCCTGGAAAACCCAGCAGGAGAGGTGTGAGCAGGTTGCCATGGTGACAGGCAGGCTCATCCAGCAGCACCACTGTGGCCCACTTTGGAGGATCTCAAAGGAACCCCACGTGTTATTGATTTGGGATCCTCTCCCCCCACCCAATTGACTTGAGAAGACTGCAGTCAGCAAGCAAGAGGTTCTGTGGTCTCGGGGCCAGAGACCCAAGGAGACCCCTATCTGTGTCCAGTGAACTCTGTGTGTGCATGTGTGAATGTGTTATTTCAATCTATGTGACTGTGCTGATGGTGCTCAGCACGTGTGTGAGAGTGAGTAAAGCTAAGAGTAGTATGGTCATTGTGGTCTATAGCAGACACAGGGACATAATGGCATCACCAAGGGAGGAAGTTGTAATCACAGCATTGTGTTTCTAAGTACTAAGTCCAGATTATCGGTTGGTGTGTTTGCACATCAGTACACTGTTGAAAGTTGGACCCAGCTTTCCACTGCAGGAAGTTTAAGAATATCTCTCTAGTTAAAAACCAAAGAGCCACAGAAATCTATCCCTGGCTCCCATATCCCTTGCTCCCTAACCCTAAATGCAGTGGAGGTGGGAATGAACAAGAGGTAGGAAGAGTCACCCAGCTGTGACTGGGCTCCTCTTGCGTACACATCTTTTCTTCCCTGTGGCCAGAAGTTCGGGAGAGTCCTCAGATGCTCCAAAGATTTGGTGGCCTCCAGGGAGACTTGGAAGTTCATGGAGATGAACACACTCTGGCTGCTCCGCTGGCGGACTGGAAGGAATTGGGAGAGGCAGTGGCCAGTGTCAAGCCGAGGCAGGGACTGTGATGGAGGGGGAGGACTGGCCTTTCCAGAGCAATCCCCATTGTGCGCTCCCTACCGCTCCTACCTGGGCCAGGCAGGTGGGCTCTCAGGCCACAGAAGAGATCTGCTTCTGGTCTTCATGCTCACCCTCAGGGTCCCCCATCAGGGGCTGGCGCTTCTTGAGCTCCCGGTGGTACTTGGCCATGAGGGAGGCATAGATGCACCCGTAGGCAGCAGCCACCACCATCATGATGCACACGATGCCGCAGACAACTCCCGCAATGATCACTGTGCCAATGGCTCGCCGCACACTCACTGGTCTGTACCTCTGCTTCTGGGGGCAGGCTGTGCTGGGCTCTGGCTCTGGCTCGGCCCCAGGCTTGGGCTTGGCAGGTTCTGGGCTGGCCTTGGTGCAGGGTGGCCCAGGAGCACCCAACCCAGATGAGCTGTTCTCATCCTCCAGCCGGGAGCAGTAGTTGAACATCTCCATGGGAACCATACGCATATCCTTCCCCCTCAGCTCTTTGGGTAGGGTACAGGCAAGCTGGTCCAGGCGACCCCCTGAATCCAGGGGAGACAAAAGGAAGGGTTGAGCAGACCTCAAGAACCTGAGCTGTCTCTCCTTATCCTCAGACCCGCCAAAACAGAAAGCCCGGAAGGGATAGTCCAATGCAGTCGATCCTGCAATCACTGTCTATAGACAAGGAAGGGTGGAGGGGACTCAGCAGAGCCAAGAACTAAGGTAGACAAGTTACATACCTTATATCACTTACTCCCTACAGCTATAGAAAATGCATACCACCCATATTTCCATTACATAGAGAAGCACGCCCGCATTTCAGTAAAGCCTGCCTGACCTATGGAGAATGGCAGTGGCAACATGGAGGAGCTGCTCAGGAAAGGGCTGCAATGCAGAGTCACATCCCTGCCTAGGCTACAGCTTGCATCTTCTCTGCCACCTGCTCAGTGCCTTTCTGTGAAGCCAGGGCAATACTTTCAACACAGTCTCTTATCCTTCCAGGGTTCTTCCTTCTCACAAAAAGGACAAAAGTCAAAAGCCACTGCCTCAAGGCCTGTTCCTCCAAGCAGGACTTCTGGCTGCCTACAAATACTACCATGGAGTAGGGAGAGAAAATCTGGGCAAGTGTGTTTTCCTGTTCCTGTCAGGGACAATCTGTGGCCCCATCAGTGCCCCGACCCAGAGATGCTCAGGCAAAGGCATCTTGGCAAGGGACCTGGGAGACGCATGAGGCCAGGAGGAGGCTGTGTGGGCAGTGAGGGGGGACGCAGGTTTGCCATGCAGTCTTCATAACAATGGTGAAGCCAGGCACATTCACAGAGAATATAAGTGCAGGACTGGGGTGTGGTGAGAGAGACAGCAGCTCAGAGCAATAATCTGCTGAGAAGTCCACTAGGAAGTGAGAGTTGGATTTTGTCCTTCTCTCAGCTTCCAGTGAAGTCTAGACACAAGCAATAGACACCCTGCTGCACAGACAGGCCCAGCCACTCTACTGCCACTCCCTCTCCTAAACCAGCTGCCCTAACTCTCTCCTCATACAACATATATCAATCTTACCCCGAGATGCTGATGGAAGTATCCCAGGATTTTGTTTAAAGGCGTGCAAAGTTGAAAACAAATCTGCTACTGAAAATGTCTGGAAAATACACATTCTTCTCCCTTGGCCTTTTTCACTAGGAATTCAGTCCCCGGCGATGGTGTGAAGTGCAAGGATGTCATCCAAGGATGACACAGCAGTCTGAATTGCACACACCTGCTTTCTAGCTCCCTGTGCCACTGACCACTTGGGTGAGGCACAGCAAGACCAGGCCCAGGGGCCACCCACATAGCAAAGAGCTGCCCCTGAGAGGGAAGTGACCTCATTTTCATGCTCCTGAGACCCAAGGTTGAAACCTGGCTGCATCATCCTGTGAAAATTACTTATTTAATTACTTCTGAGTCTTATTTTTATTAGCTGTAAAATAAGAATGCCTACTTCAATGAGCTGCCAGAGAGATTAAAATAGATAACATGCATGAAAAGATATTTGTACACTGGAAGCTATACAACAGTATTAATCATTATTTCCCCACTCACAAAAATGGGAGGAATTATAGTGAGTAACATTTTGTGGCACTTTATAGTTTGTAAAATATTTTCATTAAAGCATGAGGATAGCATGGAAATAATCGAGTTAGTGGCTGGATAGAAAATGAAAATAGTAAGGCTAATTAAAAGCATTCCCATTATTTTCACAGAGTTTTAATGTTGATTCATTCATCAAAAAGCTATTTTGTGCTGGGTATCAAATTGTGACTTACAAGTACTTTTGACTTTTTGAGTACTACTACTAAATGAGTAAGTAAATGAATGTTTTATAGAGGACTTATTTGTCCTGGGTACCTGATGAGATACCTTATATGCTTTACTTTATTTAATCTTCATAATGACCTCATGAGATAGGTACTGCTTTTCTCCACATTTCACAAATGACACATTGCCATAGACAGAAGTTAATCAACTTTAAGGTCACATGACTAGTGGGTGACAGGAACAAAATTCAAACCCTTCTCTGGCACTTTTAACCACTGTGCTTAGTTATTCCTCCTCTTCGCATTTCATCTGATCATTTCACAGATCATTTCAGGACTTCTCCAGGTTAGAAAAAAGGGAGCAAGGAAAAGAGAGTAAAGCTAAAACCACTGGGCTTCTTATTACATTTAGAAAGTAAACTTCTTTGGAGAAGTCAGCAACAGCATCCAAAGGAAACTTTGGTTGTATCTGTTGATTTCAGTTATAATTCACGCTCCTGTAAGGTAGATATTTAAAGGGTGGCTGTTTTGTTTGGAAGAAGGTACCGGGGAAGCGCAAAGGCAAAAATACTATCTGGTGGGGTTCAGAACCACAAAAAAAAGAAAGAAAAAGAAAAGAAATGCATAGTGTATCTTTAAATTCTCTTACTAAACTTACAAAACTAAGATCAAATTGCAGTAAACCCTGAAAGTGACTTAGAGAGAGAAGAGAAAAGGAAGGAGGAGGCTGAAAACAGCGTGGAGCGCACAGAGCAGAAAAGGGTGCAGTAAGGGAAGAGGGGAACATCCTTGGCCTGATGGTGGAAAGGGCAACAGCTCCTCATCTCAGGGAGAAGCCTGTGACTCCTCCTGCCTCCTTGGCAGCAAGGTAGTCAGCCTGTGTTTCCCAGACTCCATCCCAGTCCCAGGACAAAGCCTCCAGCCAGGGTGGCCCCAGCCCCTTCTGTCCAAGCAAGGCCCCTGAGCTCACCTCTATAGGAGAACCACTCCATCCAGTGCTTGAACTCTCGCAGGTTACAATCGCACTCCCAGGGATTATCCCCAACCTGCAGTAGCTGCAAGCTCGCCAGGGGCTCGAATGTCAGCCGGTCCAGGCTCTGCAGTCGGTTAGAGCGAAGTGAGAGGGAGCGGAGAACAGGGAGTCCATCGAAAAGCCCCGGGGGCAGCTGGGCCAGGCCGTTGATGGACAGGTCCAGGTGACGGAGTCGAGGCGAGTGCTGCAGCAGGTCCCTGTCCAGGGTCCTGATGCTGTTGTTGCGCAGTTGCAGCTCTGTCAGATTGGCCAGGTCCTCAAAAACAGAGCTGGGCAGCTGGTCCAGGAAGTTGTTGGACAGGTCCAACCGCTGCAGGCTGGACAGGTTGGCGAAGGCCCAGCTTGGCAGGGCACTCAGCTTATTGTTCAAGAGCAAGAGGGTTCGGGTGGCTGCGGGCACGTCCGGGGGCACGGTGGTGAGGCCTAGGCCGCTGCAGTCCACCTCCAGGCTGCGGCTGTCACAGGAGCAGGAGAAAGGGCAGGTGGGAAGGGCCTCCACAGCACAGAGAGCGATCCAGCAGGTGATCCCTGGGGAGAGGCCAACAGGTGAGGAAAAGCAACAGGCTGGGTCTTAACCCCCATCCCCGCTTCTGCTCCCTCCTTCCTAGTCCAAATCATAATGGCCTGTTCACTTTTATCTCCTTTGGCACAAGCCACAATCACTGCTCACTTATCAACCACACAAAAAAGGTAATTAACAAGTCCAAAGATACTTCTATGTTGATGGACATCACACAGCGCCAGCGGGTCCTCACCTCACTGCACATCAGACAAAGAAATCACTTCAGTAGAGTGACTGACTTACAGGCTTGAGCCCAGAAGACAAGCCATTCCAATACTCAAGCCATTCCCATACTCACAGGCCACTCATAGTTGATTTCCACAGGAGCTTGGGTCCCCTGACACCATAGATGTTGGCAAAATCAAAGAAAGGGGGATGTCAAAGACACCTGCCCTCACATTCTATGCCACGAAAAGATTTTCTCTTTCCAAAGACAGTGGCTGTGCTGCTGGTGCTTCCTCACTGTACTTCACCAAGCCCTGGAGCTGTACAAGGCTGAGCCATGCTGTGCATGGAGAGGGGAGACCACAGAAGGGCACTGTTCACTCGTCCCCTACAACTTCCCATATGCTGTCCCATTTACCTGAATCCCACATCCAAGTAGGAGCAGTAGCTTAATGTGAAATGTAGGAGCCCAGGCCCATCTTGGACATACTCCAAAGAGCACTGTGGGAATGACAAGGACAAGGTGCCCAGCACCAGCTCAACATTGGCAAGCCATGGGCTCCAGGACAGGTTCCACCCTGATTCTTATACTAAAGCCGCCTACTTTCTTACCCTGTCTTCTGTTCCTGGGGGCCGCTGGGCAGCATCTCTGCATGATGGATCAATTAACAGAGTGCCTCTCATGGTTCCACCTTTTGCCCAAGACCTTTCTGAGTATTACACAGGGGTCCAATCTTGGAAGAGCTAGGCAAAGCAACCCTCAGTGGGCAGTAGAACAGAGCCTCTCCTTCCATTGTGAAGCAGCCCTCCCTAGGAGAGATCTCAAACCCCTCCCTGACTGTTCCTCTAATATCAGGAAGCCTGCTTATTGTGAAGGAGAAAAAGATGAACTCAAAACAATCCTGCACTGCTAAGCCAACTCCACCAAGCCAAGGAAAGATCCTGGCTGGGGAATTGGTGATGGTCAGACCCAGTGCACAGCCCAGCTAGCCCCAGATTTGCCTGAATATTTGAGTGACTGGATGGGACAGTCTCAAATCTCTGTCCAGTAGGTGTCCAGTCATCTGACATCCCAAAAGGCAGTACTTGACAGAACAGGGTGGCACTCTCCCCTACCCCTGCCTGTAAGACCAGCGACAGCCCAGAGACACTGCTAGGCTGACACATGAGCCTTTTTATTCTTAGTGGGTAAAGAGCACTGGCTTGGACACAGAAGCCAACTGGAGACTGCTGTGGGCTATCTGGGGTCACCTGGAGTCACCTAGCATGACCTTCTACCATCTCCCTTCTCTGAGTCTATCTGCTGCCAGGTCAGCCTGGCCTATAAACTCCCCCATGCTACTTGATAATCTACACTACTCAGACTTTACCTTGGGGAAGGTGGGTTCAATGTATCCAGCTTCCCTCTCAAAAGGATGAACATAACTAGAAGCCACTACCCCCACACACACACACACCCTGAGAAAGAACTGGCAGCAGGGCAAGGAGAGGACATTTTGAAAAGCACAGTCCCTTTCCTTTCTCCCCACCCCAGAAGTTCAGGGTAGCATAAAAGAAAGCTCTGGTGACAAGAAAACATAATCTTCTATTGCGAGGTGTTGAGTGATCCTAGAATGAGGCTGAAAGGTATCTGGGTTGCTGGGAACAGCCACTCTCACGTGGTAAATAATTCAGGCTGCTCATGCCATGGGGCAGGTGGATAACAGGCTGAGTGAAGCCAAGGGAGAGGTAAGGCAGAATAACGTCCCTTTGGGCCACTGTTACCACTTACCAGGTAGCCTTGGGCAAAATGGCCCTCGGTTTGCATTGGCCCCTTGCCCCATTGCCCTTGGTGGAGAGAATGCTCCTGTCACCTGACTGCTTATCAGGGAGGCTGGCATGAATAGTTGTACCTCCACGTACCCACGCGCAGAGCAGGGACAGGTCCACCTCCACACCCCATGGAACTCGAGAGTAGGGGAGACAGACATCAAGAGCCTACAAAATATCTCCAGGTTGCAAGCGAGGCAAAGGGCAGCTCCCCATGAGAGCACTGGGTTGGTGGGTGGGGTGGGGCCAACTTCCTGCCGGGCTGCAGGCATGGTCTGCCAAACACATGCTGGACACACTCAGGTAGCATCAATTCTATTTAAAATATGGGGATCCTGGACATTCTTCAGCAGAGCTCTTCTCTTACGATCAGGGAATCCAAAGCTGGGGAAAGACACGACAGACGCATCTGGGGAGACAGAACCAGTCATGGCCTACAGCTCCCGGTTTAACCACTAAACTACTCCGCAATGGCTTTCTTTGGTTGCCTCAGCATATTTACTATGGGCACGAATCTGATTTCCAGAAACCAGGCCTTGGATATCTAAGGAAGCTCAGTATTCGGCCTCCCTATAGCCTAAGAAACCCCACTCCACACCATGGGAACCCCCTCCCCAGCCCAGTGTGACCTCTCGGGGGCTCAGAAGTACTCACAGGAGATCGGCCGGGTCCTCGGCTCAGGGCCACTGCCCCGCGCCAGCATGGTGAACTCAGAGCTCTCCGCGGCTCTGGGCAGAGAGGTGCCCCTTAGTGTGTGCTGCTTGTCAGTCCTGAGAGAGAGAAGAGTCGGATGGAGGCGGGCATCTGAGGCCCTGTTCCAGCCCAGGGGTTAAGGAAAGGGCCTGGTGTCTCTTTACACTCCTCGTTCCCTCTCCTGTTCCTCCCTGGGTGAGGGGAAGAAGAGACATAAAGGGAGCAGAAAGAGAGAAACCAGGAAACTGTCCTCCTCCCTGGGGTGAAGGGGGCCAGCCTCAGGCTTCCCAAGAGGCTTTAGCCCAGCCTTGGAGCTGGAGGGTGCCAGAATCTCCAGCTAAACTCACCTGCGCCATTCCCCTGCCTGTACCCCTGCCTGTTTCTGCCTCTTCTTGTTCCTGCTCTGAAATGGTGATCTCTAAAATGTTTGCTTTGCAATACGGTCACCTTTGTCTGGGCTTCCTCACATCATAGAGGGAGAAAGTGAGGCACATTTCTCCTAGTGAGCAGAGTGAGGTCTCAGGCCACAGCTCTCACCTGTGCTGCTCACCTCCCCAGTCACACCCAGCCCCAGTTTTGCCAGCCCCTCATTGCTCACCATGGCCCCGGGAAGGTAGAAAACAGACCCGTCAGAGTGTCTGCTGGCAGGTCAGTCAGGTGTGAGCCACCAGGCAGCCAGCCCCTACTTCCACTTGGAGGTGAGCCGCAAATGCTCTGTCTTCCACCAGTCAGTCTATAATAAGACTCATCAGCTCAGGGGTTCATCCTGCAGCAGCTGCTGGCACAGAAAAGACAGACACAGAGGAAAGGGTGAGATCACAGAGGGCTGGGAGCAGCCCCGGGTGCAGAGAGCAGGGTGGTCAAACAGGGCCTTTTAGGTTCTGCCCCAATCCACTGTCCCCTAAAGGTGACCTAGGCTTCCTCTGCATCCCACTTCCTTCTACATGTGGTTAAGAGCTACTTAGAAAGCCAGAGCTCCACCCTGCTGACCCCATCAGAGAGGCAGATGCCACCACTGCGGCTCACAAGCTGGGGTGAAAAGACCATGCCAGTCCCATGGCTCCTGCTAGGGCCAAAAGGGCATGGCTCTCTCAACCCTGGTTGGCTCCCAGAGTCTGGCCTTCCTTGGTTACCAAATTCATGGTCCCGGGGTAGTTCCCTGCTGCAGTCTCCCTCTGCAGCCCCTCTAGGCCTGTTTGATTCTGGGAGTGTAGGGGCCAGTGCCCGGGTGGGACTGACCACTAGGAGGTGGATGGTACTGCTGGACACTTCAGCAGTCAGCTCAAGAAGTCAGCTGCAGCCTGTGCAGGTTCCCCTCAGCCTCTAGGCTCCTGCTGAGGCTCCTGTGGCCTCTCTCCCCTGCTGCTCTCCTTCTCTTCCCCACTCCTCCCAAGCCTCCCTCCACCTCAGGGCTCCTCAAGAGGCCACCACAGTGTCCTGTCCACTGGTACCTCAGGATGAGCTTGCTCAGGAGTGAGGTGGCCTCTGTGCATCAGTCTCTGCTCTGTCTTACCTCCCGCTTCCTCCATTTAGCGAGGACACCTGTTTGTGCAGGAGCTGGCAGAGCAAATCACTGGGACTGGGTGCAGATGTGAGGTGTGGAGAGCCTGGCTCACTCGGCCTTCTGAGTGGATCCTGAGCACTCAGCAGTCAGGGCCACTGGGCTCAAATCCCTGTCTGGCCACTCCTTCAATCGAGCTGCTTAAACTTTCTGGGCTTCAGCTTTCTTATCTCTAAAGGTGATGGGCTTGATGCTTCATGGTGGGATTTGAGAGTTCACATAAACTGGGTGTGCATCACCTTGGAAGTTAGGGGAATGCTCCTACCCTGGACTCGAGCCAGTAAGTGAGAGCAAACACCAGTGCCTCCCCCATGGGGAGGGAACAGTGGCAGATTAGCAACACCTCTCTTATCTGTCCGCACTACCCTCAGCCTGGGCATGGCCACACGGAGCTCAAGGCATCGCATGCTCACTGCATTCAGCCTGTACTACCACCCACCAACACGCGGCCTTCACACACTGCAGCGTCCAGTCTCTGTGTTCCCCGAGCACTGACCCTCAGGACCCAGTCAGAAGCCCTCACACAGGGAGCTCATTGCATCTGTGAAGGAGTAGGCAGATCGGCAGCCACCCAAGCAACAGAGCCACCCAGCAGTCTGCCCAAGGTCACACCGAAAGTCATGGACTGGATAGTAGGCTTCTGAGTCAGGCTGCACATCCACTCCCCCGTGCCCATCATCCAGCAGCAGCCCTTAAGGGAGAAATACTAATGTGTGCACGGAGTGGAGTTCACACCCACCGGCCTTCCAGACACGCGCTCTGAGCGCCACACTCAGCATGTGGTGCAAACACACCCTCACGGACAGCTATGCACGTAGACATGTGCTAGCACATGTACACACGCGTGATACACAAGCGCACATGCACACACATACACACGCTCACGCCTTGCTGGCAGGAGTCCAGGACTTCTCGGATGCAACAGAGATGCCAAAGTCCCCATTCGAAGTTCCCGAATACCCCCAGCAGGCAGTTGCACAGGGGCCCTTCCCGCGGGGCGGGCCCTCTCCCCAGACACTTACTATGCTCAGGCCATTGGGGGCCAGAAAGCCAGTCCAGCCTTGGCTCTGGCTCCTTCTAGCTCCCTACGGGGACACAGGCCACGGAGTGACCCTCCCAGACTTGCTCAGACCCCGCTTCTTCCTGAGGCTCCTGCCTGCCCTCACAGGTTCTTCATTCCCAACCCATCATTAAGGAGACCAGGGTGTCCACCAGCAAATGGTCAGTCTGCAGAGTAGGTAATCTTGAGTGCAGGGCCAGCACCCCATCCCTATCCTTGAATAGGATGCCCTGTGCACAAAACAGAATGGGCCGGACCCTGTGACCCATGACAACCCATGGCATGGTCTAGTGAGACAGCTGGAGACTATTAATCGGTGTGCTTTGGAGAAGTATGAGACAACAAAGCCCCAGGTCCATGAGGAGACTGCTATGCTGTCCAGGTTCCTGCCTCTAGGCTTCCTACTGGGCACCAGAGCCTCCAATCCCCCAGGGGATGGAGGGGAGCCAGCTCTTCCAAGTCCATCGGCCCTGTATCCACCCACACACCTCCAACCAAAGGACCCTTCCCACTCCAGGGAAGCAGAGCGTCCTCAGGAAAGGGGTGACCTACATTGGGAAGCCGAAGAGCAGCTGGGGGAGCAGCGCGAGCCAGGTATTGGGACAAATTAACAGGGGGTTTCCTACGTAGGGTGGGAAATGAGGGTCCTGACAGAAGACTCGCCTCTCTGGTGTCTCTGGTCATCAGTCTGGAATGCTACACTGTTGCTAATGCTTGCTGGGCTTTGTCCTAGTCTAAGATAGATCAGCCGGAAGGAGCTGGGTCACCATGGGTCTCCCTCACTGGGTTCCTCGTTAGTGAATGGGGCTGAGGAGCTAAGTGAAATGCATTCACCTAGGGAACCCCTAAGGACCGGAAACATGAGGTTTGACATTGCCCCTTGCTACTCAGTGTCGTCCCTGTACCAGCAGCCACATAGCCTGACAGTCTTTTAGAGATAGTCTTGGGTCTCACTCAGGCTGACAGAGTCAGAATCTGCATTTCACGATCCCAGACAATTTGGATGCTTATTCAAGTCTGGTACCTCCCACATGGGGACAGTCACCCAGGAGGCAAAGCATGGGCCCAGATGAGCCTGGAGGATCCACGGGGCAGCTATCTGGGCCCTGGGCAGAGGCCAGTGCATTGATGTTAGCACCTCCTTTGGGAAACCTTTGTGTGGCAATAAATAATGGCTACAAACACCTACCTAGTGTTCTTAATGCTCATCCAACTCTGTAAAATTAGTAGTATTATTAACACCATTTTGCAGATGGGGAAACCAAGGCACAAGAAATCAAGCAACTTGCTTAAACTTAGATAAATGGAAGAATATAGTTCTGATCTCAAGCTGTGTGGCAACAAACTACTGACTCAGTAGCCCTTGTAAGGTCCTGAGTCTGTCCTATTCCCTTACCTACTCACACATAGAGCTCCTGAAGAAGGCAGAGGCAGGAACAGAGATTTACAGTTGACGTAGTGCTCCCCTGTCCACTATCTAACTGGAGCCGAGAAGACAGCTATTCTTCCCCCTACCCCACCCAGGAAAAAACAAGCTTTGCCACTGGTGCAAAGCCAGCTCCCCACTCCCAACCTCCCCTCTTTCCAGCAGTGACACAGGTCTGGTGGTGGCAAATCCAGGGAAGTTGGGATCTGTCTGGAGAGGACACTCTGGAAGCCTCTCTGGTTGGGCTGGATGCTGCGGTGAGAGAGGGCAGGCTGGGAGCTCCGGGCACCAGCACCAGAGGAAGGAGTAATGAAGCAAGAGGCAGCAGGCGGAGCAGAAGGCTCCACGTGTTCCTGGGATGCTGCAAATCCCTGGAGACTTGGGAAGAGGGTGAGCCTCCCCCTTGGGGTGCCCGCCTCAGCCCTGCAGTTTGGAACAACAGTCCACCAGTTCTCGTTCGCTATGGAGGGTCAGGGCTAGGGTGGCCAGGTATACCTGCCCCTTCCATCTGTCCTGTAGATGGAGTTGGCCCAGACTACTGCTAAAAACCAACTCACTCCAGGCCTGGGGTCTGTGCCCTTCCTCTCAGCCCCTCTTGTCTTCATCCCATCAGTCAAGTGTCCAAGCCAGACGGCCACTTCCTGCCCATCAGGGCTCCTGACTCCTGGGCTAGGGTGCTGACCTGCTGTGTGTTCCCTCCCCTGCATCCCAGCCCCAGAGACCTGAGTTGCAGAAGGGCCTTCACAGTCTACTGTGCTCTTCCTTTTGCAGAGCAGCAGAGGTTTCAGCCCCACCCCTCCTCCAGGGAGCTGAGAGCTGGGAAAGCCAGCCTGAGCCCTGTGCAGAGGGGCCCAGGATTCTGTTGGACAGGACTGTGGGGAGGCTGCTCGTGTCCCCTAGGCTGCCGCCACCTGTCTGGCCATGGGCCCTTCTAGGAAACACTCCAAATCCCTATCCATCCCCATAACACACACTGCCAGGGCAGCAAGGAAGCAGGTTCTAACTGTACTTAGAACAGACATATGCCCCCCAGCTCACTTCAGAACACCTGCCCGTTCTCACTCCCACTTCCTGCTCCTGTATTTCCCTGTCAGCTATTTCCTCTCCCCAGAGGACCTGGAGCAGAGCAGGGAAGCCCCCTGAGTCACCCTCTCAGGAGCTGTTCTCCAACGTGGGTGAACTGAGCACTGAACTGAGGCTGTGGAACCAGCTCCCACCCTTCACTCCTGAGGCCCTGGGCAGGGGCAGGGGAGACCCGACCTGGATACACATTGCCTCTTTCCCACTTTCTCCTCTCCCCACCCCAGAGCTCCCCAGATGCCAGAGCCATTTCATGTGCACCGGTCTCCTGCTCCCTGCACTACAGCCTGGCTGTGGCCCCTCAGTCCTTGTGCCTGGGAAATAGGAACAGGACCAGTGCTTTCAGCCAAACCCCGAAGAAACCACGTTGGTTGCTTAAGAAGCCTCCCTCCTTCCCCAGCAACCCTGGGCCTGGCTTTCCTGGTCTCCCTCTTTTGGCAGTGCGGAGACTTTCTGCTAGTGGAGAGGTGGGGGTGGGAAGCGCTGGGCTCTTCTGGGCAGCCTGGAAGCTGCCGTTGGGTTTCCCCACCAGCTGGACTTCCCCCGCCCACCACCACGTGCTCAACCTCCTCCCCTCCCCCACCCGCAGTAGTTATCTAAGCTGCAGGCCTGTCAGTCTGAGTCACACGGGGCAGTCAGTCCTCAACAAGCCCTGACAGCCCCTTGCCACCATCACTCCCCTCCCCTGGAAATGCAGGCAGCTGGGTCGTGGGGGGCAGAGCAGCTGATTGGAACAGAACCCTAGACCTGCCTGGCCCTGCAGGAATTTGAACTGCAGATTGTTGGTCCGAACCCCGCATTGTTAAAAGGGGCCTGGGGGCGGAGTACTGAGAGCCACTGTGCTAGCCCAGCTCAGGGGTCTGTGTCCGCAAGGGTAAGGCAGCCAGGTAGATGTGACCTGGCTGGCCATGACCCCTTAAACTGAGTGCACAGCTCTACTAAGGCATCCGACCACCTGCAGCAAAGGGCTGTGTGTAGCCCTGGGACACTGTGAGAGGGTTCTTGTGAGACTGGTTCCCTGTCTGGCCCTCAGAGCTAGACACAGAGCCTGGATCTTGCAAGGAATTGCTGCAAGACCCATCTCCTTCATCCACTCCCGGTCACACCCTCACCAGGGAGGCTTCACCCACAGCTGGGTAACCCTGTGTCCAGCCAGGAAAGGGTTCCCTTGCTCCTTTGTCCAAGGACAGCCACCTGGAGGACAGCTACACAGCCTGAGGACAACCTATACAGAAGGCTGGGTCTGAGACCTATTCCCATGCCTCTCTCCGTGTGGTCCTGCATGCTGCTGTCCTCACCCCCAGCCTTCTTCTTACCAGCCCTGTCACCAGTACCAGGCCCCTTCCCATAGTACCCAAGTTCCTCAGCACTGCCTGTGCAGAGCGGTCATGTAGAGAGCACAGGCTCTAGGCTGTTGCTCCACATGCTGCAGGAACCGGTTTCTATGCCACCCGGGGCTGTCACCAGCACTGCCCTCCTCCCCCTTTCCTTGCCTCCCTTCCCCCTCCCTGGCGGAATGCACAGTTCTTGTCCCCTTCACTGTGTGGGGTCAGAGTTCCCATGCTCTATACCTTTGGAATGCCCAGGTGACTGGTCCCGAGCAGCTTTCCCAGCCCCAGCAAGTGCCCAGCCAGGAGGCACTGCTGCTAATTGTACAGGGCCAAAGACTCAGCAAAGATGGTCCCCAGTTCCTATGCCCCAGTCACCCAGCACACCCCCATCCTTTTCACCAGCCGCTCACACTCACCTTTCTTCGGACCTGAGCTCCTTAGATCAGGCAGCTACAAATGCAGACACCACCGAGCAGAGAGCAGGGGGCTCCAATGCCAGAGTGGGATTCACCGGGAGCAGGGAGTTGGCACACAGCGCCCAGCGCAGGAGGTGGAGAGCCCGCGGCACTGCGCTGCCAGGGGACGAGGGGATGGGGCTGCTGGGTCAATAACAAACTAAGCGGGGAAGAGGGAGGGACGGAGGGAGCCAGATAGGAGAGAGGGAAGAGAGGGGCGAGGGAGGAGAGCGTGCGTGTACGCGAGCGAGCAGGAGCGATGGAGTGACAGCTGGGGGTACTTCTGTGAGGACAGCGGCGGCGGCACACACAGGCGCGTGCACAGCCGGATGCTCACGGCCACGAGGGCAGCACTCACCCTTGCAGGGCTCACATTTCAGTGGAAAAAAGCGCGTGTGGATGAATTGCTTCCCATTCCAGGCAGAAGGAAAGCTGCGTTGCTGCGTACCTCCATTTTCCTTCCCCGCGCTCCTGCAGGTTCCTCCTGGCCCAGGGCTGCTGCCTTTCTCCCGTCTCTGCTCTCTGCACCTCTTCCCCTTCCACTTGTGGACAGAGGGGCAGGACCCAGGCAGCCAATGGACTGACTGCGTCCGGAAACCTCCCTGGGAAGCTGAGTCCGTCTCCTCTCTCAAAGGCACACAGGGCAGTGCCTCCCATCCTACCTGTGGGAGAAGGAAGAACCCAGCCCTTCTCAGTGGAAGGCTGACTTACTTTGCAAGAGAACCAGTGAGGGCACACAGAGATGCAAGGCACCTGAGGGCCCCTAGAAAGTCAGGTCACATGGTCACGCAGAGGACACACTCACTGAGCCTCAGGAGTTACCACCCCAGGCTACAAGAACTTAGCGGAGCAGAACACCAGAGCAGGCAGACTTGGAGCTGGGCCACCTGGTGAGCTGAGGAGTCCTGAGAGAACCGAGGCCAAGTTCGGCCTTGGCCTCACCTAGCTTGGCTCCTGAGTTCCTTCATCTTATCTACAATGGTTGAGGTGTGCAAAGGGAAAAGACTGTAATTCAAGAACTCAGAGGCCTCTTTCCTAGCCAATCAGGACTGAGCAAGTCAGAGAAATTGATATTCCAAGAGATGAAGTGGCTGATCCAAAGGCAAAGCAAGCCAGGGACTAAGCCAGAAGAGGAATCCTACCTGCCCGCCCCGGAGAAGGACCCCCGCTGGGACCCTTGACTAGCATCTCTAAAAGCTTGCATTATTCAGGCAAATGGATCTGTGTTAGGACTAGGGTAGGGACTGAAAAACCTCCTGCACCCTCTCTCCTGTCTAACCTACTAGGCTATCGAGGCAGTGGAGGAGGCAGGCCTGCTGCCCCAGGAGCAGAGCCCAGGGGCATCACTGCCCTCCTGGAAAATCACTGTCTCTTACCCAGCACGGATGTCCCAGAGCATCTGGCCCTTCAAGAATGCCAGGCTCTCACTTCTCCCCAGGGCTCCCACCTGTCTTCTCCTGGAGGTAGTTCTCACTCTGCTCCTGGTTGGCCTCCCTTTCCCTAAACACAACCAGAATGTCACCTCTGTATCAAGTGTCCCTGCTTATTCCACACGTCTTGATCTTCTCTGATCTATGGCACTTTTTTCTGGGCCATCTTTATGGTTCTTATCACAGAAAAAGTTGTATCGTGTCTTCCTGTGGTGCGGTTTCCTCCTTTCTTATATTGTGAACTGTTTGATAAGAGGCACCCTGCCTTACCTGCCCCAAGTCCCCCATGCCCCAGTGCCTTCTACTGCTCTTCAGATAGTTAGTGGATTTATATTTCACTTGGCAGCCTGAGGCTTCAGTAGGGGGCTGCCCTGGAAAATGAGCAGGTAGACTGAGATCTCTGGTCCCCTCTGGGCTCCTATAACTCAGGTGTGTGCTGCTCCCAGCTTGTGTTATAGAAGACAGGCAGGAGGCTCCTCCTCTGAAGGCTCTGTGCAGTCCCACAGGGCTGGGTGACACAGGAAGGAAGGGTGAAGTCTGACTCCTCTAGACCACGGCCCTGAACAGGAATCATTCCTCTGTGTGTGTGTGTGTGTGTGTGTGTGTGTGTGTGTGCGCGCGCGCACACGCGCTCGCGCACTCGCATGCATGCAAGCATGTGTGTGGAGATGGGTGGCTGCACAAGCACAGCAGTCTTGTTTTGTCATTCATGATGACAAAGCAGCACTGAGATGACAGTTGAGACAAGGAGCGAAGATGTTCATTTTGATAAGCTGTCTGCTGCCTATGGCCTGAGTGAGGCGCTTTGTGAGGCTGTCTGTGAACGAAGCTGAAGTGATCTTAAAGGAAAGCTGTCTTAGAGGAAGGCAACAGATCACTGTGGAGAGATCAGGGAGAAGCCAGCACAGGGGAGGACAGATGTGACACGGGAGGGGATCCCGGTGGGTTGAAGCAGAAAGAGACTTGTCTTCTATTGGGCCGTGGCAGGTCCCCTGGGAACCAAGGCCAAGGTCTAAAACAGGGACCCACAGACACAGACATGCAGCCGTCTCTTAACCACCCCCTGGGGAAGCTTCCCATAGAGGCCTTACAGTCCCTTGGCCTCTTTCCTTATTTCTCCTCACCAAGAGTTCAGAGCTTGTCTGCAAAGCCCATAACATAGCCCATCTCCTGAGGGCTCACAGGGGCCTAGGGGAGGGAGAGGGAGGCCCCAGAGAGGCCTCTGACAGTGGCCAACTGTGACGGTAGAACTGGGATCCTGAGCCAGAAGGCTGAGCTGTCTCTGCGCCTAGGGTAGAAAAGCAAGTTGAGGAGATGAACAAAAGGACTTGAAACGATTAAACCCAAGGGGTGTGGGCCAGGAGCATGGCAGAGCACAGCTGATCCATTGCTAAGGGTACTTCCACGCTCTTTGCTGCTTTCCCTTCTCTCTGCCAAGTCCTGTTCTCACCCAGAGGAAGTCCCTCTTTGTGTGTCACTTCAGTCTCCCATCACTTAGTGGATTACCTCCAAGCTCTTTGACAGACTCTGAGCACAACTACGTCTCCAAGATGGCAAGCCCAGAATCCGTTATGGGCCAGAGCTCAGGAGAGGGGGTGGGGGGGCAGGAGTTCAAAATGGTCCTGAACCTCAAAGATGAGGAATAGCAAGGTCTCACAGAACTTCACTTCCTGATCAAATGGCTAGATTTAATTGATTGTCCCTATGTATCCCAAGGAATATTTATCAAGCCCCACTGTGTGATAAGTATTATTCTAGGTACTAAGAATCAGAACTCAATTCCCTGCCTGTTCTTACACCATTCCAAGGACAGACAATGAAAAATCAAATAAACAACTCTTGCTGCTCAGAAAATAAAACTAATGAGATATAAGATGAATGGTGAAGGGAAGGAGTGCTTTATCTGGGGAGATTAGGGAAGGCTTCTACAGATTGTGTTCGAGCTGAGATCAGATGGTGAGAAAGAAGGAGCCTGCCATGTAGTGTCCCAGGGGAAGAGCATCCTAGGAAGAGACAACAGCTTGTGCAAAGACCCTGCGGTGAGAATAAGCTTAATATGTTTAAGGGAGAATGTGATTCAGGTTGAAATCAGAAAGACCAGCAATGCGGGCTCTTGTGAGGTCTTCTAAGGCCACATTTCCAAGGAGTTTAGATTTTATCCTAAGGGCATCGCAAAGGCATTGGGGAGTTTTAAGCAAAGAAGCAGCACTGCGATATGATCTTCAGAAAGATGGCTCCTGTGGCTGTGTGCAGAATGGGTCATACAGAGTCCAGGGCTGTTGTTTTTATCCAAGTAGGAGAGATGTTGGCTCTGCCAATGGAAGTGGAAAGATGTGGACAGACGGCTGAAGTCCTGGAACCAGTGTGTGCAGAGCCTGCACGGGTGAGGGGAATGACAGCCATTATGGAGAGGATGTGCCCTGAAAGGCGGACATCTGAAGAAGGGTCAGGGCTGGGAGGAAAGGTCCAAGTCTGACTTTGAACGTGTTACGTTCAAATGCCCATGAGCGACCCAAATGGAGATGACACGACCACAGGCTGTTGGAATGCCTCAAATTCTGCAAAGGGAGTGGCGTTGCCTTGATGGAGATGAGGATCCAAGTAGCAAGACGGACCTGCTGGGAGAGAAGTGCTCTGTGCCCCCACTTGTCTCACAACTGCCCAGAAGCCTCCAAACCTAACTTTCTTGGCAGAATTGGCTCTGCCTTCTCCAGATCCTGTGTTAGAATCACAGAACTTCTTCTGGTTTGGAAATTGAATGATTCCATGAGACGTGACCATGAGTCACCGCAGAAGAAAAGCAAGTCTCATTCTAAGAATAATCTGAGACCTCTCTGACCACCCAGGCCAAGGACAGGGTCAGATAACTTTCTTAAATCCCAAAGATATGATCATGCTTAGCAGTAGTGCAATTCCCCTCTACGAAGGTTGGGAGGTGATCCTTTTTCATTCAGCCCATTTCTGCAGGTGAAAGACATCTGTGTACAGTGAATATCGAGAGTGGTCTTCTTAGGAATTAGGAGAGGGAGGGGTCACTTGCATCCTTAAAGACAAATGGGAGTGGGCACAGCCACCAGCACCAAGGCTGAGGGCATATTTGTGTCACTCTTCTTCATGGTGAGCCAAGAAATAGAACCACCTGTCCCCTTCCCACCCACCCCTTTGGGCCACCTGGACCTTGAAGTAACAAGAAAGCCCCCAAAGAACTCCAATGACCCCACATCAAAAGATGTGCTCCTGGGGGCTGGCCAGGACCACCTGCAGAATTGATTGGGACTCCAAGGGATGCGCGTGGCCTCTCAAACCTTGGTTTCTTCATCTTCAAACTCAAATTGGCACTAGCACCACTCTGTCCAATCCACTAAGAATGTGTGGTTATTTACATTAATTAGAATTAAATCATGTTTTAAACCTAGTGTGGTGATATACACCTGTAATCCCAGCACCTGGGAGGCTGAGGCAGGAGGATCACCACGAGTTCAAGGTCACCCTAAACAACATAGCTAGGCCCTGTCTCAAAAAAAAAAAGAATTACATAACATTTTAGGTCAAGTGGTCAGTCACTAGCTACATTAGGTGTTCTTGAGATCCACGTGTGTTCATGGCCACAGGGGCAGGTAGCACTGAAATAGGTCATCACCATCATGTAAGAAAGTCCAATGTGACAGGGATGCTTTAAGAACAGGAGTTCCCAAAATAGTTGCAGGGTCTGCAGTGGGCAGCACCACTTGAGAACTCTCTAGAAATGCAAATTCTCTGGCCCTACCCCAGACCTCCCTCCCGGGTGAACAGTCCTGGAGCAGGGTCTTAACCACCTTCCAGGTGATCCTGGTGCACACCAAAGTCTGAAACCCAAGGCTGTGATCAAGACTAATGGACTCGCACTGCATCTCATGGGGCATCTACAATGCTACTCATTCTGCCCTTCTAGAGTAATCGTGACTCGCTTTACAACAGAGCAGATTAATTCAAAGATCACAACCCTGGAAAATCTAGCCCTGCAACTTGGCCCTTTGTGCCCTTGTCTCTCTCTCTCTCTCTCTCTCTCTCTCTCTCTCCCTCCCTCCCTCCGTCTCTGTCATTTCTCTAGGCTCCTTTCAGGTTGAAGGGGAAAAGGATGCAACTCTGAATCTCTGGGCCTAGCAGTGCAGTGCACTGTGGGAGTGCTCCTGGGTACCGAGTACTCAGGGTGTCAGAATGAGGACAGTGGGAAGTCCTCCCTGATGATCACTGAGGTGACTTAGAGTCTCTCCTGCATATGGCAGAATGGTTGAGAATCTGACCTGTGTGCATTTTATAAATGAAAAAACTGAAGTCCAGAGTGGGAGACAGGCTTGCCCAGCTCTCCGTCCCCTTCCTGACTACCAGTTCTCTAATCCAGGAGTCCAGTAGCGAACGGAGCATTTACGCCTTAGAGACAAAGAGACCCAGGTTACAACCCTGGTTCTGCTGCTTACTGGCTGGGCAACTTGGATATGCCATGCAAGCTCTACAAAGCTTCCCCTCCTCAGCCTGTAAAGTCAGAATAATAATAGTAAAGTGTCTGACGCATTACCCAACACATTCTCCATATTATTATACCAGGCACTAAGACGTTGTCCTACTTTTAAAATTCTTTTTCTGTTCAATATAACCTGCCTTTTCTTTCTATTGTTTGGCCCCAAGTTTTCCTGGAGCTCTTTGTCCCAGATTTCTCTTCACCTATAAGCCCTTGCTTGGGTTCTCCAAGCCTATTTGGAAATCAAAGAGGCAGGGGTGGCCCAGGTAAGCAGAAACATCAAAGGAGCAACATTTGTGCCCTGATGGCATTTAAGTTGCCCAGAAACTGCCTGCAAAGCTGGGTGAATCTGATCATGACTTTCAGCAAGGAGAGAGCTTTCTCCCAGTGTGAGGAAGACACTAAGCAAGATGGGTGTAAAGAGGTTGGGACACCCAGGTGAAGACCCAAGAGACTCCTTAAGTCACCCAACTCACAGTGACCCGTTCTCAGCTCCACCCTAGCCATGTAATCTTGCACAGCTGGCTTCATCTCAGCAGCCTGTGTTTCTCCAGCTGTGGGAAGGGAGAGTATGTGGAGGGCCCAGTGCAGACACCTTGAGCTCCCGAAGACTCAAGGATGAGTGTGTCCTAGTTTCTCTTTCTCTTCCTTTCCCTCTCCCTCCCCCTCTCCCCCTCTCCCTTCTTCCCTCTGGCATTTTCTGGCAGTGTTGTCCCCAGGGGAAGGTAAAGCAAGCCTGGCTCCTCCTCTCCCCCCAGCCTTCCCACTCCCCAGAAGCCTCAGCTTCATACTCTGGTCTGACTCAGCCTCCTTCCCTTCGTGCTGCCCGGGTGCTCTCTCCCCCAGTTCCTACTCCTGTGCCTCCTCTCTAACTTGATTCTATTTTTCTCTCTCACTGTGTGTTCCCTCCCACTGTCCCTCCCCCCAAACGCACGCCTGGCCTTGCCCTCCCTCTCCTGCCTCCCCGCAGCGGTGGGCATCCAGATGAAGGTGGAATTCCTCCAGCGACAGTTCTGGGCCGCAACGCAGCAGGTGGGTGACCGCGCTGGGCCAGGTCAGGGGTAAGGAAGTGAGAGGCTCTCTGTGCCAAAAGGGACCCCCCAGGGCTATCACCATGGTACTCCCACAGATCCATCCTTCCTGCCCCAGTGGCACCCCCAGGCCATGCAGGCTGGCTCTGTTCTGGTCCCCACCCGCCCCAACCCCTCGTCTCCCCACAGACCCAGTGGCAAAGGGCAAGACACAGTCTTTGGACCTGGCCCACACCCTCGGTGCGGCCGCGCACACCCTGGCTGCTTGCAGAGCAGGGAGCCGCCTTGCCCTACCCACCACCCAGGCCCAATCCCAGCTGTTGATTAGCTCCTGAGAAGCCAACCATGCCTGGCACCCAGCCCAGGGCCCCGGCTTTTATTCTCTGTTCCAGGCCCTCAGCCTGGTCCTTGGGCCCCCTCACCTCGTCCAGGCCAAAGCTTCCCCACAGCCTGTCGCCTCTGCCCCTCCCCTCCCTGGTTGCTTGCGGCCATGTCTTCACCTGGGCCATGTTTAGAGAGCTACAGGGTGAGGGAAGAAGGGACAGGAGGATAAAAGGGGGACCACCTGAGCCCCTAGGTCATACCCCTCCCTCAGAGCACAGGAGGCCCTGGGCTGCAGGGTGCCCCCAGGAGAGCCCAGCCCGCTGCTTCTTAGAGCGCCAACCCATACGCCACAAGCCTACCACACAGCACGCTCACATACCCCACACGCAGACCCTCCGCATGCAACACACACCACACGCCAGCATGCACACTAAAATACATACCACACGTATTCCATACACACAGTGTGCTCTCACACACACCATACACCCCACTCACACAAGCACACACCTGGATAACACCACAAGTACACTACTGTAAGCATTCGCCCACAACTCCTCACCCACCCATACACAGCATGAATGCACCCATGGGGTCCACACATGTAGCCCACTACACACATGTGCACGTTCACCACAGGCATACAACACACATGTGCGGTTGTGCTCTCCTCACCACTCCCTTCTCTCCTCCAGTGCAGCGCCTCAGATGGGCAGTGCCCACGGAGCTGCGAGGACGGTGTAAGTTCTCCCCAAGTGAACCATCCCTTCTGTGAGCTGGCACCCCTCTGTTCCAATGCCTTCCCACGGCCCTGGGCTCCAAGGGCGTCCTCCCCAACCCCATCAAGGCCTCCTTCCCTAGCTGGCAGACTGGGTGGGAGGATCAGGGGTCTGCATCTGAGCGCTTAGTCATGACGTCCTCTCTGGGCCTCTCCTCAGGATCTGGACTGCTTCGTCATTGACAACAATGGCTTCGTTCTGATCTCGGAGAGGTCCTGGGAGGTAAGCCACTGGGGAGAAAGAAAGAGTCAAGACCTCAACAAACCAGAGCTACAAAATCTGGAGCACTTTTCCACTTAGGTGGTCAGAGAGACTATTACATCTCTAGTTCATCTGTAACTAATCTGGCCCCTCCCTTGGTTGGAGGGAAAGTGTCCACCCCACACACACACACACACACACACACACACAGGAGAACCACAGCTCGAGGCTGCCTGACCACACTGTGCTGCATTTCCCGGCCTGGCCTTGAGGAGATTCCTTCCACTGCTCGCCGTCTCACCTCTCCCTCCCTCCTTCCATCCCTTTTCTATCACTGAGCCCAGAGGCCTGTGTTCTTTTCCTTCCTGGGCCTCCCCTACGGAACAGCCTCTTTCAGCTGTCACCCCTGACCCTCGGCGTGCTAGAGGGGCTTGAGGAGAATCCTTCTCTCCAGTATCAGCCATGAGCCTCCTCCCCTCCCCTCTGGCAGGTGGCTTCTCCCTGGGCCCAGCATGTGCTCAGAAAGGCAAGAGAATATTACTATAATCATTGTATATTTGCTAAGCCACAAACTGGACCCTAAAGTTAATCAGTCAAGAATCAAAGTATAAAAGAATCCTAAACCAAACCTGAATATATTCACCTGAATGATTTCCTTAAAACAAGCCCAAGTTATCTACACAGTCTTCAGGCTGGACTTCAGGGGACTTCAGCGAACACAGTACGGTTTGACATGGCTCAGACATAGGATCTGAGAGAGCAGCTTGCATTACTCGTGCCTCAGTTTCCCCCTGTAAAAATCAGGGGACTGGACCACATGAAGGCCTAAAGTCTCAGATTCCTTGTGCTCCTCGAGGAAGTGGTCAGGCCTGACTTGAACAGGGCTTAGGGTCCAAAGAACTTGGGAGGACATGGCAGGGACTAGAGCCAGAGTATTAGAAGGACACTGGAGAGACAGCAACTGGGGAGGACCACAGAGGCTGACTCCTTGAAGCTGGGTTTGTTTGTTTGTTTGTTTGTCTCACTATGTAGTTGAGACTGACCTGGAATTCACTGTGTAGCCCAGGTTGGTCTCGAACTCACAGAGATCCTCCTGCCTCAGCCTCCCAAGTGCTGGGATTACAGGCGTGCGCCACCACTACTGGCTTTAAAACTGCTTTTTAAATGGCCCACTAAACATGCAGCAAGATGAGTTGGGGGAAAGATTGTCCACTGTGTTCCTTAAACTAGGAGTGGGGTCTGAGCTGATGTTCATGATGATATGTAGGACCCCAACAGCTCTTTGATGGTTGTGGGCACCTGCCTCAGCTTGTCCCCTATTCCCTTTCAATTTTGGCCACTATCACCTGTCCACCTTAGTAGTTTTTAGTTGCTCTGGCAGGAGTTGAAATCCATGGTTAGGATGAGGCTCAGGGGTGACCCCATGCCCTTAGTCATTCATGCTCTGTTCCCTGCTGCCTGAGTAATTGAGGTGGCAACTCCTAGTCTCTTGTAGTACTCGCTTTCAGGGGCCTGGAGATGGGCCCTGGGCTAGGGTGTTTCAGAGAAAGCCAGGAAGCTTGGACAGATGGGAAGGTGGCTAGACAAAGAAAGAGTGGCCAAGCCCCAAAAACCGTGCTCCAAGAGGGGGTGGCCAGCTTGCACTGTAAAGAAAGGGACAGAGGGCATAGATTAGGGGTTCAGGCTTTGTGAGTCCGTCTCACATAGGCAGTGCATAATGAATGAGCGTGGCACTGTTCCAGACACTAAAATTCAAATTTCATATCATTTGCGTATGCCACAAGGTTTATTAATCTTTTGATTTTTGAAAACCATTGAAAATTGAAACACCGTTCTTAGATCATAATTCTTCATGGATCCAGATTTGGCCCTTGGGCCTTGCTTCAGCAACCTCTACTCCAGACAGCTGGGACAACCTTGCAGGGAGCCAGGCCCAGAGGAAAACCTGCCCCAGCCGAGGGCCTACCTCAAGGGAAACTGGCGAGGGCAGGGGCAGGTCTGCGGTGGAAATCTCACAGGGTCCTTCCCATAATCCACTGGGCTACTCTGGTCCTACTCAGGCCGCATCTTCTCGAGTTCATGAATTGTGGCATCCCTGGGAACAACTGTAGATAAGTCAGTTATTCAGAGATTTGTGTTTTATAAAGTGTTGCTTCGCTTGTGCACTCCTATTTTCTCAACTCTCATACTATCCTCTTACACGGCATGTAGATTTATAAGCCATCCCAAATCCTTGTGAAATGAAGCAAGACATAAATTACATGACCTTCTTGTGCTTGGCTCTCCCTCCCCTCCCCACCGTCATCTGCTGTGACGATATTAGTCTCATTTTACACCAAAGGAAACACACAGGCTGTGTGAGGTTCAGTTATTAACCCCAAAACTCTCAGCTACAGGAAAGCCAGACTTTGAACCTAGAAATACAAGTGAACAGCAGTGGTGGAGAGGAGGAGGAGGGCCTAGAAAAGACCTCATAGTGAGAAGACCGAGGTGTTGGGAGCCCCCTGGCTTTTATAGGTTGTGAGCATTTGTAGGGTAGAGTTGGTGACCTCAGGAGACAGGCCTGGTCTGGAGGGTGTGGCAGGCTGCAAGTCCCCGATCCTCCCTGGGTCACTCTGTCACTGCTCAGAGCCATTTTTTGCTTCACTGCACTTGGCTGAGCCTCGAAAAATTAGGACTAATGGTGCCAGAAACAAGGTTCCAGGAATGCTGATTCTGGGGTTAGGCTCCAAGATTCTGCAGTGGTGCTGTCTTGACCTGGCTTAATTCCTCTTTCTTCATTCTGGACAGCTCTTTCTTCCCTCATTAACTGAGCTGGGTCAGGTTATGAGAGGCACCAGGACAGTAATACCCAGACCAGAGATGCCACTTGGCGTAATGCCTGACACAAGGCAGACACGCAATAATTGTGTGGGAAGCTGAACTGGCCGTGGTGTGAGACCTGGAAGTCATGGGCATAAGACTGGAAGGAGAGTGGAGGACAGAATGGTAGAAAGCTTGGTGCTAATGCTGCATGCTCAGCTGTCTGCCCATCTGTCCATCTATTGTCTGTCCATCTGTCCAGTTTTGCTTTCCTTAAAAAAAACTCATCCATTCAACAATGCTGTGGTAGTTATCCATTGCTCTGTAACAGAGTGCCCCAGAATTAGGGGCTAATGCCACAGGGTTTACAATCTTAGAACTTCTGTGGGTGAGGAATCTGGGTGTGGTTGGTTCTGGACAGCTGAGTGCGCCTGGGTCAGGCTCTCTTATATGGCTACGGTCTTCTTAAGGCCAACTGGGGAAGGACCCATTTCCCAGCTCTCTCATGGTGGCTGGTGGGATGCTGTGGTGAAGATCGCAGTTCCCTAACACGTAGGCCCCCATGTGGGGCAATCTGCTACATCAGAGTGAACAGCAAGCCATGAATGAGCCAGGGAGCACAGGAGCAAGAGGAATGCACAGTCTTTTGAAGACTGATCTCAGAAGTGATGTTCCATGGCTTTACCATATTCTGTCTTCTAGAAGTCAGTTGGCAAGTCCAGCCCACACTTCAGGGGAAAGGACTACACGAGGTCATGGCTACCAGGAGGCTGGGATCACCATGAACCATTTCTGGATCTTCCCACTACTCACCTACACAAGCCGCCACCTTCTTCAAACACTCACGAGGGCCATCAAGGCCCATCCAGCCTGACCCTCCTCAACTCATTCCTCACTGCTCCTCCCCTTGTCCCTGGAACTCGAGGAGTATATGGAGCACAGAGCACCAGGGTCAGAGAGCTTGTCTCAAGGCCCACCTCAGACCTAGGGACTCAGAAACTCTGGGTTGTCCTGACAGCCTATGTTTTAATGAGACCTCTGGTGATTTAGTGCGCAATACAATTTTGGAACCATTGCTTGGCTCTTCCTGCCGGTTGCTGGGGTTTGGATATACCTCTGCTGATGGCTCCCACCTTCCCAGCTGAGCGATATGGAGTAGGTTCAGGCTGCCCTTGTCCCTTTCAGGACCCAATCAGGGCCTGGGGTACAAAGTCTGTGGCTTCTCCACATGCAAAGATTCCCCCAGAAAGTCCTGCCCTGCCCTTCCTCTCTTGAGGCCCTCTTACCCTGCCCAGAAGCCTAAGGGAGCTAGCTGTCTGCAGCCTGCCTGCCCATGCAAGCATCCGGTCGCTTTCTCCTGGTCCTGGTGGTGTCCTAGACCTACTAGTCAGACGTTGGGCTCCACCTGACCTCTCTTCCAGCTCTGGGCTCATTGTTTTTAAAAAGAACTAGAAAGAGAGTGATGTGGACAGCATGGGTCCAGGACAGTGCCAGCGTCTCTGTGGAGGTTTGTAATGTTTACAGTGGGTCTGTCCCTCTGGGCCAGGGGGCTCCAGTTCCTCTAATTTTCCCATGGGCAGCACCTACCCATGGAGCTTCAAAACAGCCCCCACCAAACAGCAAAGCCCAAAAACTCAGACACCCACCCCAGAGCCTTCCCCTGGGGCCACGGCTCTCTGAGAACAACACTGCACTCCCTTCTGCCCTTTATCGTCACAAGCATCTGGTCAGACCTTCTGCTCTCCTCTCCTTTCTCACCTTGCAGTCAGCCTGTTCCACATGTCTCCAGCTCCCCTGTGCCCAACCACAGCTCCCTTTCTGCTTCCCAGCTTCCCAAATGCTCCTGCCCCATGGGTGCCACAGGAGTGAAACCTATCCCACCACCAGGTCCCATCCCCGCAGAGGCAGGCTCTCCAGGTGCCTTTGGTAGAGCTGGCACTGGCTCCTACACCTTCCCACCAACCACCACCACTCCCATATGGCTAAAGGCATTTATCAAGGACTCAGCTCAACTCAGCCTGAGGAGGAAGGAACTGAAGGAAATTGAGTTTCACCTGTGGTGAAACCTGCTCGCCCTTTAAAAGGGTATTTGTCCCTGTTTCTTAGAGAAGAAGAAACTGAGGCTGTCCCTAGGTAAGGAGGCTTTGTAGCTCCATTCCGTCACCACAGCTGACAGCATCCTTTTTCCCTGGGGACAGGGGCCTTTGGAGCTACAGCCTCACAAGACCTGCAGATTACCCCCCAGGGGCAATCACCCAACCAGTAGGAATATAATTAGAGCTGAGTTCATTGCTGCCTGGAGCCCATCTGCTTCCTTGCTTCAGGCTCCTGGGTGGCAACTCGCAGGACCTCATCTCCTCCCAGACTCCCTGTCAGACTCATTAGAGATTAAACTCAGGAAGCCCCAGACCCTTTTGGCCCCCAAGCTCAGAGCACAAAGCAGTGACCTTTCTACACAGGTACAGCCCCGCTTTCAGCCTGTAGTCCTGAATAGGCAAGGTACCTAAAGCCAAAGTTTGGACCTTGGCTTTGATCTGAGCCGTGATTCATTCACTCTGACAAAGGTCACATGAAATCAAATGAGCTAGGAACTGTGTTGTCCTGCCAGGAGTAGAGTCCCCACTACAGTGGTATAAACAAACTACAGGTTGATTTTCCCACTGAAAAATGGGGGTTGCCCAGGCCTGAATTGCTTCCTGAAGTCATCAGGTATAACCCACACTCAAGATGACAACATAACTAAGGGATTTCCTGCCTTCTCGTCACCTTCCGTCAAGGGAAAGGGTTAGAGAGGAGTTAGGGAACCTCCAGCCAGGTCCTCTCTGTTTAAACTGCCTCCATGGGCCAGGGATTTAGCTCAGTGGTTCGGTGGCCTGCCTTGCAAGCACAAGGACCCGAGTTCAATCCCCAGCACCAAAAAAATAAAAAATAAAAAAAAAATAAACTGCCTCCTGAGAGCCTTTTGTTACTCTGCTCAGGTTTCATTGGCCAGACCTTTGGTGCAAAGGCTTCTGGGAAATATAGTCTTTTATCTTTATATTAGCAAGGAGCACATGCTATCCTTGTTAGTAAGGCTGCCTTACTAAAGAAGTGGAGAGGACCAGGGGATTTAGCTCAGTGGTGCCGCCACCTGCCTCACAAGCACAAGGTCCTGAGTTAGCTCTTCCGTACCAAAAAAAAAAAAAAAAAAAAAAAAAAAAAAAAAAAATTAGGGAGAGTGAACCCTTTCTACTGAGTAATATATTCTAGGAAATTGAGCTGTTTTATTTGCAGAGAAGACATATTTCTCCAGCATCCAGGATACACTTGACTACTCTCAGGAACCTCCTTTCTTGGAAACATCTCCCTGATAACAGGGTTGTTGGTGAATAAAGCTAGAATTCGGAAAGAGAATGGGACAGGCCTGTGAGACATTGGAACGGCCTCGTCAGGAGCCTGGTCTCCACTCTGCTGTCTTGTTTTAGGAAGCAGAAGATTCAGGTCAGTCATTTATTCCCTCACACATTCCTTCTGCAAACCTACATAAACCACCACGAACAGGACACTGTATGGTCCCAAGGACCAGAAGTGGGTCTGAACCCTCAAGAATCTCACTGTCTGATGCTGGAGGAACAATGTACACACGGTCACTGGAATAGCAGAGTGAGCCTGCTGAGAGTTATTACCCAAGTTGCAGGGATCTGGATCAAGGAGACTCATTCTCCTTGCCTTTGGGCTGGACCTTGAAGGATGACGGGATTGGGAAGGTTCTCACCTTCCCATCGGCTCTTCTGTCCCTCCCTCGAATCCCCAACTCTTCCCTGTTGTTGCCTGCTCCACTATCCACTTCTTCAGGGAGGCCTGTCCCTGTTAGGCCTCCTAGTCAGAACAGTTGGGCCCATTACTAAAGCCCATTACACTTCCATTACTAAAGCATCAATTGTTAGTTACACTGTCTTGTGTTATGGAGAATGTGCTCCTCTATCCATCTGGTCTGAGCACTTGATTATTACCTACTTCATTCATTTTTTTATCACACTCACCTAGTGGGTAAGTGTCTTATTAATAAAGAACAACACTAACCATTAATTTTTGGAGGTCAGGGCATTCAGGGTAAAAAGCAGATCTCAGGCAAGTATGGCTACCACTTTGGCTCTAATTCTTGGTTTTCTCCTCTTTACTTTTGTCTTTAATTTATAGTTCTTGAAACTACAGTTTTGCCATACATTCTTGGTGGCTTGTATCCTGACATTTTAATTTCCATAAGTAAGCTATTTCCCAAGGAGAAATACTATAAGACAAAGAGGTTATATTTTCTTCATTGATTGATTGATTGATTTGAGAAATGACATTTCCTGACTTCATCCAAGATTCCAAAATTGGGCCCATCTAGAGGCCTCTGGCCCCATTTGCTGATTATAAATTATAGCATTATAGAATGTGGAATATCACTGGGGTTACTACCCAAAGCAATACCTTCATCTCTCTCTCTTCTCTTTTTGGAAGAAAACTTTGATTGTTGATGCATTCTGACTGACCTTTGTCTGAAATCAATCTGTTTCCCTCTTAAGAGTCACTAGCATTCACTTAGCTGCCCAGAGAAAGCCCTAAGAGGGGGTTCCTAGAAAACACCTGGCTCTCCTACAGTTCTGTCAGACCCACAAACATCTGTCCCTATGTCAGGTGGCATTTCTTTTTATTGGAAGTCATAATGCATGCCATTGTTTTAGGTATTTCACAGTACACTGTCCATGGAGGAAAGTCCACACGAGCAGGCACTCTGCTTGCACTAGGGTCCTACTCGCCTCGTCACTGCCCTTCCTTCCTCTGTGGACCTGACTTTTTCCTTGACCCGCAACTGAGATTGTGGCACACGGAGGTTCTCCCCTCACCGAGTTCCTGAGAATTTGCCATAGCCACCAGCTCAGACTCTCACCTCTCTGCTTAGCCCAAATTCTACACTCTCTCCACTCACTCTGGGGAATTCAGAGATGAGTAAGAGATGGTCCCTGTCTTCAGGCAGCTTTCAATCCAATGGTTGAAAACGGATTGAAAGACAACTGAACATGTGATCAAGCAAGGAGGCAATAGGGCTAACGGGATGTGCAGGCCTGTGCTCTCGGAGTGCGCGGGAAGCAGGGACGATTTCTGACTGGAGTGGTTCGTTCAGGAAGACTTCTCAGATGCAGAGTTCTGGGTGTGAGGGCTGAGAAAGGGTGGTCGAGGCAGGGAGAGCAGCACAGCCCGGCACAGGCATCTTCTTGTCATAATGGCTGCCGTTTATGTGCCTCAAGCTTACCCCTAATCTTTAAAGCAACCTACATCATATCTGTATCTGACCCCAAATTCATCCTGCCAAGCTGAGAAAAGAGCAGAATCAAAAGGCCAGGCCAACCCATGGGGGAGGCAGAATGGGGAGAGCAGCTGAACTGGGTCTGAGCCAGCTTGGAGGAGAGCGACAGGCTTTGCAGGCATGGCAGATACTGCTGAGCACACAGTCTTCGGTGCCCCCTGTGTTGGTTGATGGAATCCATTAAAGAAGAATGGAAAGTAGTAGGGAGGATCCTATTTTAACATTTTGGAGATAATGAAGAGAGTGACCAAAATCAAGTGTGTCAAGCTCCCTGCCCTTTTTGGCTAGATAATAAGGATGTCTGTGCACACACACACACACACACACACACACACACAGGCACACAGCATACAACAAATCAAGTCTTACAAAACCTTCCTTCACTCCACTGTAAGCAATTCACATTAAACTGTTCTAAGGAATTTTGTATCTTTTAAACATCTGACTGCAGCGTGTAGACTGATGTCATCGCCAGCTACCAGACTGCAATCTAGAGTGGAAGGCTCTGAGCTGGAGCATGGCGTGGAACAAGGCTGCAAGCATGGGGAGCGGGCTCCACTTGGGTTCCTCGGGTGGTGTCTCCCGAGTGTGTGCTGTCGGCCCTCACCTCCAAGCTCAGATTCCACGGTCCTCACCTGCCGGCTTTCTCGTCCTCTCTCACAGACCGGAAGATTTCTCGGGGAGGTGGACGGTGCTCTCGTGACCCAGCTCCTCAGCATGGGGGTGTTCAGCCGGTAAGTGAGGCATGCCTCTCCCCACTCTAACAGATGCACCGCCACCACGGTATGGTCCAGACGGACCTCGGGGTCTGACCTCAGGAACCCACAGCGAAAGCAACACAGAGTCCCAAAAGTGGCCTTCTTGGAATGGGAGGCTTGACACGAAGAGGGAGGAGCATTATGGCCACAAGGACACCCCTAGCCTCAGCTCAGCCCTCAGAGGGAAAACCACCCAGCGAGAAGCAAGCCACACACTGCTGGGTTTCTTTATGCCATTCCCAAGTGTGGGATGTCCCTTTCAGCAGTCCCTGCTGTCCTAACTGAGGCATCCTCTTGGGCCTCAGGAATGTAGTCATGTGAGGGAGCCTGTCTTTGGACAGCAGCAGGTTTGGAGAGTGCTCCTAGCCTCACACACCCTGTTTCTGGTTTTCAGAGTGACAATGTACGACTACCAGGCCATGTGCAAAGCCCCGGATCAGCACCACAGCTCTGCCCAGCCCCTGGTCAGCGTGAGTGTCCCCCACCACACACACATCCTTTTCTCTGTGCTTCAGAGAAGTCACTGCCCCTTTCTCACCGAGCCTTAGAGTCCAGGGCTACTCTTGACTGTAGGTTTCTACCCTACACTTGGGCTCAGCTCAGCTCCACCCAGCCCTGTAGGCTTCATCCTCTAAACCCAGCTCATGAGATAACAGCCTCAGGGAGAGAGAACTGACTGTCCCAAACCGCATCTCCTGCTGCTGCACACAAATCATCCAGGGTTCTCAGCAGCTGGGGCCACCAGGATGAGAATGTGACCAGGCTTCCAGGAGAGCACATCTCACCCTCCTGTGTGTCTGACATACAAAACGCATCACCCAGATGACTCAGTTGAGGATGCTTCTCTTCAGGGAGACGGGAGGCAGCGGTCAGCAGGCGGCCTGGCTGTGTTGCCTCTCTGGTCTGAGGGTGGTGGTGAAGAGGTCACCTGGCCCTTGGATGCATTCGAAATGTGTGCCCTGCGCTCTCCTCCCCAGCCAATCTCAGCCTTCCTGACGGTGACCAGGTGGCTGGTGAAGGAGCTCTTGCTGTGAGTGGGGACAGAGGGGGAAATGGAGGGAGGAGGCCTCATGAAGGGGTCCTTTGAGCAGGAGGATGCCTGAGGCTTCTGCACCCCACATGTGCTCCCCACCCCGACCCCAGGGGAGGAGGGCAGGGCCCTGGGTGCGTAGAGTCTCCTCCCTCCTCCCTGCCCACTACTTCTAGGAGGACCTGTGTCCCTCAGAGCCTAGGCAGGTCTAGGGTGTTTTGGCAGGGAGGAGTTGGAGGAACTGGGGTCCCAAGGCTCTCAGGCCCAGGTGGGGAGGGCGTACGAGTGCCGAGACTCAGGTCTGTGTCTAGCAGGTCCCTGCTGGAATGGAGTGCCTGGGGCTCCTGGCATGACAGAGGGGCCGAGGGTGAGTACTCAGACTGCACTACCAGGTGGCATTTTGGTCTGGATCCTGGCAACCTTTCACCTGGGTGGGGAGCCATGGAATGGGGGCTTAAGGTGTTCATTGACCGTAATCTCATCCTGCCTGGTCTTCTCTCATTACCATCACTCACTCCTGGCTCCCTCACCTCTCTGTGTGACACCTCATCACCTTGGGACATCATCGCTCTGTGTGGAATCATCACCACCCTATGACATCCTGCTTTCATGTGACATCATGCCCACCCTGTGCCATGTCCACCTTGTGCTGGGCTCATGTCCTGGGCAGCCAAAGCTGTCTTCCATCACTGTAAGTAGCATCAGCTGATGTTGGCCACAGTGGGTTGGGGAGCTGCAAAGGGCCTCCCCTCAGCTCTACATCCCAGGAATGAACTCAAGAAGGGCTGATGTTTCTTCCTCCTGGGACACCCCTGACTCTGGAGACTCCAAGCTTCTTATCTAGGAGGGTAGGGAGGGGCCCAGATTTCATTCCATGCAAGCACAGCCCTGCCCCAGAGAATGTAAGAAACCCAGCCATCTCCTTGGGTAAGAGCACACAAGGAACCGGGAGGAAATGTGGTCAAGTGTACATCAGAGGCCACTAGGTCACCCCTTGGAGAAAAAAATGGTACCACACCTCCAGCCTAGGTGTCAAACAGCCCACTGCAGGGTCAGTGGTCACCTGAAACCTCTGAGGATGACAATCCACTGCTACCTTGAGTCTGAAGGCAGAGCCCCCCAAAGGCAATGACATGGTGACAAGGTCCTGACATAAAGCAGTAACTTCATCCCAGCTTCTGGGACACTTGTCCACAGCCCTGAGGAATGAGGATGCCCGGTCTCTGAGTGACAGTGAATGCACTGTCATTCCCTGGGGACATGGAAGTCTTGAAACCACAACAGGCCACCATTTCATTCAATTTACCCACATTAACAGAACCTTTTCTGCCCGGCTCTGCAACTTTTCCATCATCTGGGCAGCTCCACACCTGTTCCCCCATCTTTTCCTGTGTTTGGCTTCCTGATAAGATACCATCTCCATGTCTGTCCCCTCTCCTGATTGCTCTTATCTCCCTTGCCTACTGGCCCCTGGGGCCTGTTGCCTTTGACTGGGACAAAGGCCTAGGACCCTCAGCTCACATGGCCCATCCCCTGCCATGTTTCCAGGCTGCTTTTGGAACTCGCCCCGCACTGTCCTGACAGGTCCACTCTTGGGTGGTTCATTGTCACCTGGTACTGCTGACAGCAGTCAGGAGCCACGTGTCACAGCCCACTCAGGAGCAGCTCGCTCCTCCAGGTGCCTTCTCCCTCTGCCCAGAATCACAGGGCCTGATCCCAAGATGGACACACAAACCCCCTTGTCTTCTGTCAAACTGAGGATGGTCCCCCTTGTTTACTTGTTCCAAAAATTACTTCTTTGGGGCAGCTGATCCCTGGAGTTTCTAGGGGTCTGAGGCCTCAGCCAATCCTGCTGTGATCTCGGGGAAGCCACCTAGTCCTATCATAGCTGTGGCTGTGATCAGCATCATTTTTGAGCTAGACTTAGCCACCAAAGTGGCCCAGGTGACAGGGAGGGAGGCCCAGCCCTAAGCCATCCCCCACCAAGAAGAAGAGCCAATCCTGACGCTTCTACCCAAGTGCCTGTCTTCTGAACTGGGGGACACCTGTACTGCCCTTGTGGTCAGCTTGGCCAGAACGTACCTCCTGAGAGGCTATGAAGTCTTTAAGGACTTTTCTGCCTACACACTGGCCTCCCCTCCTGACTTCAAGGTCTAGAGGGCAGTTTGTGGGCCTGGAAACAAAGAAGGCCGACAGATCTCTCACCTACTCCTCTTGTGCCCTTTGAACAGCAGAGTCACACTGGAACCTCTGCTCCCAAGTGATAATATAGGGCTAGGCTGCTGCCCTGGCTGTTTCACATCTGGGTGTGAGCAGCCAAAGAATGGTGTGTACATGTTCTAAGGAAGAAGGATCACTGTGCCCAGCCCTGTGGTCTTTAGCAGGTCCATCTAAGTGACCGCAGCAGGGACCAGAGGGCCTTGCACATCAGGGCTTCTAATTCTTCTGCATGCTTTGCAGAGTCCTACTTGCTCCACCCCCTGCCCTTGTCTTGCTGGACTAAGGGGCATCACACTGACCTCACTAGGAGCCCCAGATGCTGGGAGCCATGTCTGTGGGCTTAGGTGGACTCAGACCTCCTGCCCAGCCCTCCCAGGCCTGCAACTGTGGCTCAGCTCCTCAGTGGGAAGGGCTCAACCTGGCTTCAAGGTGGCCACAGGGCCAAGCTGACCCAGAGGCAGCACTTGGGTGACAATTCTGTGGGGAGATCACAAGTGTGTCCACAAGGAAGGCCAGGTTGAAGGACAGAGGGGCTAAGTCTCCCCACCAAGCCATCCCTACCACCTCCACTCCCCTCCTGGACCCTCAGGGTGTCCATTCTAGGAGGAGCCTTTGAGATGGGACATGTGCCAACCTCATCTTACAATGACACAGGCTTCCAAAAAGAGGAAGTAGCTTCCCCACGGTCAGGAGCCAGTGTGGCTCTGACACACACTTGAGCTCCACAGCCCGATGCTGCAGCTGCCTCAGTCACTCTTCCTCGGTGACATCGGCAGTGGACCTGGTGGGGAAGGTCCTTATGTGACACATCGCAGAGGCCGGCTGGTACCAGCAGGGACAGCCAGATGCCCTTCCTCATATGTGTGCCTCTGTCCTCACAGCCCACAAGCACAAGAAGCAGGACCCGCTGCACCCCTGCGACACTGAATACCCTGTGTTTGTGCACCAGACCGCCATCCAGGAAACCAACGGGGTCATTGCATGTGGGGCCTGCCAGAAGTAAGGCCCCAGAGCCTCTCAGCCTGTCCCTAGCCATGGAGACAAGGGCTTATCCCTGCGGTGGGCAGAAAGGAAGGATGACAGCTGCAAGGGAAAGGTCCCACTCCTAGGGGGCTTTCCTCCTCCATTTTACTCCATGCAGGAATCGCCAGCTCAGGCAGAAGGAAGGAGGTGAGGCAGATGGTTGGGGACAGTGGCAGTCTGGCAGGCTGCATTTGGGGGAATGTGGACAGGCAGCCCAGAGTGAGTCATGCCTAGATGGAGGTCTCTGTCCATGGCCCTTGCAGGCTTGTCTCCCTCACACCACAGCAAGCTGCCTTGAAGGCCACGTAGGCCCTGTGCCACAGATCTGAGAAAGAAGCCAGCCAGACCTTCCCTAGACTCTGTCCTGAGCAGAGGTGTGAAAGCTTCCAGATGCCTTCAGCAGGGGTGGGGCTGGAGGAGGATCCTAGGCCTGGCTCCCTAGCGCTGTCAGGCCCAGGGTACCCTATCTCCACCCCACTAGCCCTGGAGCCTCAGGACGGAGCCCATCAGGGCTGCTCCTGGGTCAAGGACCCAGATCTAACCGGGTCTGAGCCTGAAAGTTCTCCCTGCTCCCCTCCTGCCCCCAAACCTCAGGAGGACCCCACCTGAACCCTGCTTCCCAGCCAGACTTATTATTCACCAGGAACCACCCAGGATGCCCTTTTGTCTCCCAGACACCAAGCAAAATATGTTATAGTACAAAACCTCAGCTTTAGCTTCAGACAGATTCGGGTTTCTATCTCTTCGCGGGTAACATGTTAGGTGAGATTTTAGCCCCACTGAAACTGCTTTCTTGGCGCTAGTGTTAACTATACACTAATCTCTAAGGCTTGTGGGAGGACAGAGTCAGTGGGATGGTGTAAAGCAAGGGCTTTTGAGTGCACAAACTTGACACCTGGCCTTGCTGTGCTACAGCTGTGTAAACTTGAGCAAATTATCTAACCTCTTCTAGCCTAGTTTTGCCATCTACAATACCAGCCTCACCTGTGCTGTGAAGGCTAAACATATTTACGTGTGTATATACATGTGTGTGCGTGCATGAGTGTGCAAATACCACCCATCCCACAGGAAATGTTAAGTGGCAATTAGTACTGTTGCATAACACCCAGGCCTGGCGCTTCACAGGTCCACTGCCAGCCACTCTCCATAGCACTCCGAGCTGTGTGCAGGAGCACAGTGCCACCACGTGGCCATGATTGACACTGCGTCTTCCAAAGCAAGGGCCTCCAAGAGTCCCTGACAGTAAAGATTCCTGCCTGGTGTTCCTGCATATATTAAGACAGCTCCGCCCTTGCCTTCTATAGTCCGCTAGGAAGGGGAGAAATGCAACTGTGAAGGCTTGTGGTAAAAGAAGTCAATAGGACGGGATCCTTTATTTACCCAGGCTGATCCTGGAACTGCCTGAATCTTACCTGCCTTGTGTTCTGGTCCCCTCTTTTGCCATCCTAGTTCCCCACAAGTCTCAGGAGATTTTCTCCTTAGAGCCCTTCTCTTAGCGGCCACATCTGCCATGGAACAGTCCACAACACCCCTATCTTTGTTGCAGGATGTTTGTGATGCAACAGATCCCCGGCAGCAACCTCCTCCTGTTGGTGACAGACCCCACCTGTGACTGCAGTGCCTTCCCGCCAGTCCTGCAGGAGGTGGCAGAAGTTAGATATATCCTTACTGTCCTTGGGAGCAGGGAGGCTGCAGACACTGGGAGGGGACTCCTATTGTGAGTGCTGAGGCCAGCCTCCCTTCCCCTGCCCTTCCCCACAGAATATCTCCACCCCCTCCCTAAAGCCCTGCTGCCTCCTGCCCCTGCAGCTGCTGGCAAAGCAGCTGGTACTGCCAGGGATAGGTACATCCGTCCTGGGTCTCCAGAATCAGCTGGGGTCGAGTGGTGGACCTTGACTGTGAGTTCTGTACATAATGCCTCTGTCAAGTGTGACAGGATGCGCTCCCAGAAGCCCCGCCGGCGACCAGATTCTTGCCATGCCTTCCACCCAGAGGTGCGGGGCTGGGTGGGCAGAGAAGTGGGGTCTGGTCTCCATTCCCAAATTTGCTATGCCACCGTGCACCTCCCTGGGAAACACTGAGATGCTCACATTCACATTTACGTTGTGGTGGTGTGGTGACACAGTAAGAAATACACATTTAGTCTTTGTACTGGCTCCTGGCACAGAGTGTCTGAAACCCTTGGGACTTCCGGGGTGACACAGCAGAGAAACCTCTTTTGTCATATGTGGTCTTAGTCCTTGAGTCTTGACATGTGGCTTTTAAGACCCTTAGAATGATAGAATGATTCTTTTTCTTTTTTGTATATTGATGAAGTGATTGCTGGCAGGGGCTGCTAGTTCCCCTCAGGATGGGGCTGATCACATGGAAGACTTAGATGTGATAGAGAGTTGGAACTTTTTTCAGCCCCAGCCCCTGATTTCCGGGGATGGGAAGGGAGCTGGAGCTGTAGTTCATCACCAGAGGCCCTGATTTGATCAATCATGCCAGCAGAATGAATTCTCCATAAACCCCTGAGCAATGGCGTTCAGAGAGGTCCCAAGTTGGTAAAAGGGTCCAAGTCCATGCACTGGGAGGGTGGTGTGCCAGCAAAGGACATGGAGGCTCGGTGCACCTAGTTCTTCCTGAGTTGTATCCTTCTCGACAAAGTGGTGCTAGTGAATAAAGTTATCTTCCTGAGGTCTGTGAGCTATTCTAACAACTGCTCAAGCCTGAGTGGAGTGTGACGGGAACCCTTGATTTACAGCCAGTCTGTTGGAAGTGTTGAAGGCCCAGGACTTGTGATGATGTCCGAGGAGGGGGAAGTATGTGAGACTGAGCCCTTCACCTTGTGGGATCTGATGCTAATTCCAGGCAGATGGTGTCAGAATTGAATTTCAGGACACCCCACTGGGGAATTGATTGGTATGAGGAAACTTCTCACGTGTGGTCAGAAGTGATGTTGCAAAAGCACATCAAAACCTACAAGTCATTAAAATCTGTCATCCAGGATCTCTATAAAGAGCCCCATTTCCTAAGGTCTGGGCCCCAGAATTCAAACAGAGTTTCCCCATATTGTCCTCATTCCTGCCACCATCAGCACTAATGATCTATGCAGATGGGAAGAAACCTTTATGTGGATGATAATAAGTGACTGGTATTTATTGAGCCTCTGATGTCCATGGTTATCAGGCCCAAAGCTGGGGTCTTTATGCACAGTAGTTTTTGCTGAGCATGGTTGCCACAAATAATCTGCCTTAGAGATGCTCTTGGAGTTGAGGACTTCCCAGAAACCTTTCCGAGAGGAAGACCCACAACCTCTCCAAGTCTGGGGTGGGCAGAGCACTCATGCCCTGCCCATGCTGTGTGTGGCTTCCGTTTCCTCCCTAGGAGGTCTAGGAAAGGTGAGAGCTGCCCTGTCTCCCAGGCTGTCTCCACATTTCCCAGAGAGCCCTGCTGTCCTCGCCCCTCTGGCCGGAGGGTGATCACTATGGGTGGCACTGCTCACTCCTTTCTGGTTTGCAGGAGAATGCCCAGGACTGTGGTGGCGCCTCAGGAACGTCTGCCTCTCTCCTCCTGCTCCTGTTGCCTCTGGGTACCTTCATGCTTCGGCTTTAGCGTCTTCAGTAACACCACTCACTGTGACCCCACTGTGAAGGGTTCTTCCAGAGACATTTCGGAAAGTCAGTGACTGGGCTCACTGCATCAGCTTGTCTCCCAGGCCCAAGCCTCGTCTCAACCCTGAACTAATGGACCCCGCTGGAGGTGACCACTGAGTCCCCTTCTTGTGAGGAGGAAGACTGCTGGAAGGAACGAGAAACCAATGTCCCAGAGAACCTCCAGGGTGCCTGCTTCCATTCACCATGAGTCTTCTGTTCTCCCTTCTCTTTAGGAGTCCTCACAAGCTCAACACCAACAAAGACAAAAGGATGTGGAGGTGCCCAGAATGAAGCTAAAGGCAGAGGACACAGATGAAAACACGCTCTTCCTAAAACAGAGGAGGGTGACTGTGTGGGGGGCAAAGGAGGAAATAGAAAAAAGAAAACAAGAATAGGATAGAATAGATATAGGTATTAAATAGACTGTTACTGCTGAAGAGCCTTCTGAAAAAAATTTTACAAAGCCCATCTTCAAGGTAAATTTTCATCTTATAAAGAAACAGCAGGTTAATCTTTACAGTTGCTGCATGGGACAACAGAGCATCCAGGGGAGGTGGGATGAGTAGCAGCAGCCAAGCCTTGAAGTCAGGTAGATGCAAGATGCCCTGCATGGTGACATGACAAGGGACATCTGAGCAGTGACTCCAGCTGGAACTTTGAGGAACACTGTTTTGGAGACTAAATGCCCCCCCCACACACACACATACAGAGTCTCCTAGGGTCCCAACTTCTGGGCTTCCTTACCTTCAAACCCAGATGTGATATATTCGTAAGCAAGCACTAAAACACACTATTACTATAGTACCTTGTTTTATGGAGGTGGAGACAAAGAAATTACAGCCTGGAAGCCAGGAATAATAAATAGGCGAAGGTCAGAGGTGGCCACCCGGGTCAGGTGGGTTAGGAAGCAGCAGGGAGCCCTTTCTCCAGCCAGCAGAGTGGCTCAGTTTCCCCTTTTGTGTCGTGAAGACCTGATTTCAATGGCCAGAGTAGGATATGCATCCCGGCCCCTGTTCCAGCCACTCCTCACTGTAGTGTAGTCACCTATCTTTCGCATTAATAAATGTTCTCACCTCCAACAGCATTTGGTTTCAACTGCTCACTCAGACGCCACCTACTCAACATCTCTCTAGAATAGCCCAGGACTGTCTTTTGTAAGGTTCCTCCCCACACCCCAACCAGAAAGAGCATTTTTTAAAACAAGCTTAACTATCCTGGCCATACAATGAAAAGGTCAAGTGTAGTGTGTCAGGCAGCTCCTGGCCTTATCTGCCTTCTCAAGGTCCTGCCATATGGGCAAGAGAGGATACAAGACCCAGAAGTCCTTTTAGAGCCAATGGAAGGAAAGCCACTTCTCCAAACTAACCCTGCTCTTCTCTACCTTGCAGAACGGATAGTCTCTTTAAAGGTTTGCCTCTGAAAGTCAGCATGATTCTTACTATTTTAACAGAACTACAAAAGGACAGCAGGTGGCAGACTAGCTCACACAGACTTCAGGGGAGCAAAGTTGGAACCTCAAAGTCATTTAATAAATAGGGACGCAGAATTCTGGCATCTCTTTTCTTACCAGCATTGCACATTTGGATGACCAAGAAAGAGCCAAAGGATGACATTAGATCCTCCTTCCTCAGAGCCAGAGACATATGTAACTACTAAATCCACTTAATAAATTTGTACTTTTTTGAGACAGGGTCTCACTATGTAGTTGAGACTGACCTGGAACTCACTATGTAGCCCAGGCTGGTCTCAAAATCACAGCGATCCTCCTGCCTCAGCCTCCCGAGTGCTGGGATTACAGGCCTGTGCCGCCATGCCCGGCTAAATTTGTACATTTTAATAGAAGTGCTTTTAGGTAAAAGGAACCACTTCATGACAGAAGTTTCAGTTCAGAAGGGCAAAGGAGTGGATGCATCTTAAGGTCAGAAAAGTACATGTGGGAGTGGCAAGGGCTCAAAAACTACCAAAGCCTTAGAGCAAGGCTTTAGCAAAAACACCAGCCCATTAGCATGGGAAGTCTGAGAAATGTTACCTGTAGGGGCTGTAGCGTGTCAGTAAAGGGTGCAAAGAATATATTATTAGCCCTTTTGTTTTTGTCAAGTGAAGACACAGAGGCCAGGGAAATAAATGACTTCCTGCTTGTTACATGACAAATGGCAGAACTGGGGTGTGAAGCTGCCTCTCCCCATTCCTAAGCTAATTGGGAAGGGAGGGGTGGTGGGACAGGGCAAGAGGCTGCATGAGCATGTAGTTTAATCCCAGCCCCACATCCTCCCTGATCCTTGATCCACACCATTGTAACTATGAGAGCCACACTGGCCTTGTTTTCAGCAAGTCAAAGCGTAATCAGAAAAAATTAGTGCATCAGATAGGACACAGGTGGTGAGCAAAGAGTTCACACCCCCGAGAGGAAAGGACAAAAGGCAGTCACTACAACTGCAGCACAGTACTCAAGGATGTTGTTTCTGGGGTACCTTTGAAGCAACACTGTCCAGAGGCTCCTCTTAAGGCACCCAGAATCTTGCATTCCATGAAGTGAAGATTTAAATGTGTCCTCATCTGCTTTCTCTAAAATAGCCGCAGATAGCACCCGAGAAAAAGGAAGCACAGACAGCTGCTGGCGAGAGACCAGGAAAAACCAAAGTGCGTTATCTGTGGACCTCAGCTTACTTCTCTGTGTAGTCCAGTGCCCTACACCCATGTAATATATGGGGAAACCCCAAAGTCGCACCTGTACTTAAAAATGAGAATGTAAAAGACATAACCAAACGCTGGAAATTCCCCTACCGAAACCATATTACCTAAGGAAAAAGGGTTGAGATTTCCTCTATTCAATGATACAGAAAAGACCAGCTTAACAAGCCCCACTCCCCACAATTAAGGTCAATATACACTAGCCAGGTGTGGTGGCAAAATGCCTAGAACCCCAGCACTTAGGAGGCTGAGGTGGGAGGATCACTCCGATTTCAAGGCCAGCCTTAGCTACATAAGGAGACTCTCAAATAAAGTATATTATATATACATATATATATATATATGTATATATATATATATTTATACTTATATTTAATCACACCATAAAATCAAGTAGAAAGGAGCAGTTTTCTCTTTACATGGTTTTCACTATTCCCCAAAGTGGTGCGGGCACATGCCTGGCAAACGCAAGGTCCCGAGTTTGATATCCCGTACCAAAAAAAAAAAAAAAAAAAAAAAAAATTGTGGGGGGGCAACCCACTTTCTGTCTTAGCTTTCTTAGCTTCAATAAATTTCTCCTACTCTTAAAAACAAAACCCTGTGAATCAGACATACTGTTTCCATTTCCTCATCTATAAAATGAGTGAAAAATAATACTCGCTGGCCACAGTTATCAGTACAAGTAATCAAATGGTTCTCTAATACAACTCAACGTAAGGTATTCTCTGTATTCAGTGTTTGTTAAAACTTTCATTTTTTTCTGTGCTAGGTGGAGCGGTCTACTACTGAAAACTCTCCAGAGCCTAAATTTATTTTCATAACCTTTCATAAATGAAGAACTGTCCCTTAGCGTTAGCTCTCCTTTTCACCTTAAACCTGATTTAGGTTACAATGAAAGTCCAAAGTCTGAGAACAATGAGTAGGGCAGATGCATGGTGATTTGTGCATTCAGAACAGGAAGTTAGGAGAATTTCTTTTAAACCTCGCTGTCTAAATTAGGGATTCCAGGGTGTGCCAGAAGTTAAAGGGAGATCAGCAGAGAAAGGCAATAAAAACACAACAAAAACTCATACTGCATTTGGCTCTTTTTATTAGAGAAATTGAGAATACAGCAAATAGGGAAATCCCATGGTGAATGGAGCCATCACACAGATGCCGTTCTGGTACCCCAGCTTTCTATGATCCCCTAAAATGTGCTTTGTGGCTTTAGCAATTTATAAAGGGGAAGGGAGGGGGAGAATACTGAAAAAGGCCACTATTTAATGGTGAAAGAATGAAGCTGTAGAGGTCCTAACCAGCCTAGGGGTAAAAAAAAAAAAAAAAAAAAAAAAAAAAAAAAAAAAAAAAAAAAAAAAAAAAAAAAAATTTAAAATCTGCACATAGCAAGCAAGCCTCCGGCTGCTGAGAGTAAGGCATTCAGGCGCCAACCTGGTGAGATTCTCAGCAAACACTGTAAGGTCAAGTGCAAATTGAGGCTGTTGGTAGTGAGCTGCACAGAGACACACAGAGATGGGCACACATGCCCACACACATACACAACCAGTGAGGGGGATTTACTGGATTACGCACTGGTGGTGTTGGTTTAACGTTCCCTAAGGGTTTGTGCTGTTGAACCAGATTTGTCCTGCTCTGCGGTGTGGGGTGACTGGGCCCAAAGACTACCATTTCTGTGGGTGTTGTTAGAGGGCTGCACCTCACACCCTGTACCCCAAAGTGTGTGACCAAATATCAAGTCTGGCTTCTGATATGTGCTGTTGCTCTCATGAAACTAAAAGAGCTCTGGTGGCCACTGTACTACCAGACTGTTTTCTCAAAGAGTTAATACTGTTCTTCATTCTGTCAGGCACTGCACCAAACTGACTTCTGCTTGGTCTGCCTACAGCAGTGACCTTAACCAAACCAAAATACTCCTAAATTCTTCCCAAGTTCTACACTGAGGTCTGCACCTCAACTGTGGCTGAAGATCTGAAGGGTGGGGAAAACAGCAAACTTCACTGAACAGGAGACTCTTACCATATCCAAGGATGTCAAGACCCCCTGCCTAGTTCTAGTATCCACCGTCCCCAGGATATAACACGACCACCTGAAGTAATAGGCAGTAACCCAGGGTCCAGTGCTATTTCAGGGGCTCACCAGTGAGCCAAGATCAGGATTCTACAAATCGGATCCTGCTCCCACCATTCTCCCTATACCAAAACAAGATGGCCCTGGGACAAGAGCGATCATTTTTCTCTTCTAGTAGCAATTCAAAACCATGGACTTCAGGATTCTACCAGACGGCTTGGCAATAACGCAATGATATCGTTTCCTTTTAAACTCTGCCCCAGGATATCCCTGCTTGATGAAGATCAGTGGAGCTGCAGTGCTATGCTGAGGGTCTGAGGTGGGGCCTAGAGAGTTCTGACTTTTTTGTGCAAGAACAGAGATGTCTGTCACATTAGGCTTAGCAAGACAGGGCACCAAAGGTGATACTCATCTTTCCTTGTCCAAACGCAAGGCTCTCCCCCAACGCAGGAAAGTGATCTTACGAGGAAACCATACAAGTCAGAATCTCAACTGTGGCTGGCTCTGTGCCAGGAACTATGATGTACAGGGAAGGCAATTTTCAGGTCCAGAAGGAAGAAGGTAGTCAGGGCAGTGATTTTTAATAGAAATAGACAGGGTGGTCCACAGCTCCACAGCAAAGATATAGAAAACCGCTCATACCTCTCTAATCACGTATGTGCCACCACCAAGATCTCAGGAAGTGATCAGACCAGTCCCTATGCTAATATCCCCAGAGATCCTCCATGTTTCCACTGCTCTTTTCCAACATTAATGACAGAACTAAGTGGCTTCACTTTAGAGGTCACTATCAACCTATAAGACAATCTTAATTAACACTTTAACTACAGCCTTCGCCTACTACCTCTTGCCAGTCATTCACTGAGGAAACACAAACCACTTCCCTCCACCTCTGCCTCGGAATGCTTGAGAGATGTCGTGTGATCACTAGGCTGGGGCTACAACCTCTGCCCTGCTAGGGTCCAAGGTATGTGTGTCGGCCTTCGGAAGGCACCTTGGTGCACCAAGACACTGTACATTCTGGGGCTGCTACCCGACCCTCCTCCAGTCACACTTTGTGCAAAATTGAAACAGTGTGTGGTACTTGTATGTTTCATTCTATACAAAAATTCTCCCTCCCTCCCTCACCCCGATGTTTTAAACATTTATATAAATTTTTATTTAAACAGTTAGAAATCTTATTTACATTAATTTCTTTGTTCTCCTTAAAAGAACATCTAAAATCACACTCCCACCCCTTACTTGGATATAAATGTTCACCTAAACTGGTTTGTATTGGTGTTTTAGGAGAAAGGGAGAAGAAAGAACAATCAGCTAAACTGTTTCCTCATCTTTTACAAATAAATATGATATGGATCAGAAGCCAGTTTGCCTAGGGTTCTGCACAGCCCTCAGTGAGCAGATCCCAAGAACAAGTCAGTATATGGGCCACTTCTCTTTTTCTCCAAACTGATGCACTCCATCCTTTGAGGTATGATTTATTTTTTTCTCTTCTCAGTCATGTACCACATGAAGCCCCTGGGCTGTCACAAAGCCCATGAGGCTGTCAATGTTTTGGGGCTCCTGATACTGCCATCAGCGGCCAGTAGGGAGTCCTGTTGCTGCTGCTGCAGGCCCAGGTACAGGGTCATAGTCCCTGGCTACCTGTAGGTGTCACAGTGCATCCTCTTCAGTGCAGCCCCCACCGATCATGAAACGGAACTCTTGTAGGTTTGAGACACCGTGGAAGTGAACGAAAGCTCCAGCAACCACAAAGATGTGAAACAGCTGATGAGAGTGAAACTGGGGGAGAGGGAGAGAAATCCCTCCATTATTAAAGTCACATAAAGATTCTTAATATCATTTCATCCTGGCTTATGCTCACCAGAGGGCAGGAAATGTGACAGCTCAAGATTCAAGGTGTCCACAGATCATGGGACATCCATTAGGGATATCATATTTTGCTGAGTCAAACCAGCTGTCCCCAAAGAAATCTAAGTACTGCTGTTAAAACTCTAAACATGAAAATCTGCACATTTACACTGGAGTATCTGGTGAACTCAGGGACAAACAATCTACAAACTCTCTTACTGTTAAACAAGTTCCTAAAGAGGGCTTGACACCCAGCAGTGGGCTCGGACTTAATGGGAGACACTTCCGTAGTCAAAAATACCAGCACCGGGGCAATTTAAATGCTGCTCTCTGTTAGAAAAACAAAAGGGGTTTCCAGGGTCAAGTGGGCAGTCACAACAAAAGGTCTCTGGAATTTCCTTCAGCATCAAGATTCTGGAATTACAGGGCCAGGGATTTAGCTCAGTGGTTCCTCCACCTGTTTCCATAAGCATAAGGTCCCAAGTTCAATCCCCAGTACCAAAAAAAAAAAAAAAAGATTGTGGAATTACATGAACAACATACTGTATAAAAAGACTAGGTAAATGGAATCTTTTCCTTCTTAAATCAGAAGCTGGTCTACAAGTATGTGACATTATTTCTGATTTTATCTGTTCTATTGAATGCTGTCACATTAAGAATCACTATTCACTGTATCAATCATCACTACAAAAACTGCATTTTTTTCTCAGTCTCAAAATAAAAATATACTGTTGCAAGCAGTATTTATCAAGGTAAAGACTGATTTTAGAAATGTAAACAAGAAACTAAAAGTTACATTCCAAGAGGTATTTCCTAGGAAACCAAAGGGGATTAATTTTTCCCAAAAAGGAAAGAAAGGTATAAAAATTCCTCCATATCAATGTCAAAATTATGAGACAATCCCAGAAAGATAACTTGGTTAATTTGAAATTCACATTCATTCATGATTGCATTCATGATTATCTTCATTTCACATAAAGGTAAACCAAACTTCAAAGAGAATAGTTTAGCCTACAGTAATCAGCAATAATTGAGGAATAGAATTGCAGAAGTTAAGATTTCTTTTTTATTTTCATTGTTTTGTGGTACTAGGGATTCATCACAGATCTTTGCACATGTTAGGCACTCTACCACAGTACTTATCCCCAGCCCTTTAAAAAATTATTTTTATTTTGAGAAAAGGTCTTGTTAAGTTGCCCAGGCTAAGCTTGAACTTGTGCTCTTCCTGCCTTAGCCTCCCTAGTAAATGGGCTATTAGGTGTGTGCCACCACACCCAGCTCAAAGGTCAGTTTTTTTACAGCAACAACACTCCAATTTTACATTGTTAAAAATATTACGGGTCCTCTTTAGTTATGTAATTCATATCTATGAGCCAGGGATGGTAGTGCACACCTGTAATTATAGCACTTGAGAGGCCAAGGCAAGAAGATCATTTGAAGTTTGAAGCCAGCCTGGACTACGTAGTCAATTTAAGGCCAGTCTAAACTACAAAGTGAGACTCTGTCTTCAAAAAAGAGTTTACATCTATATCAGTCCCTTATATCTTCTCTACTATCTTACCAGCCACAGTCCAGATATTTTTCTTTCCTACTCCAACCAGATATATACACATCCAATCTCTCACTACAAAACACCAAGGTTTGGTATAAAAAACCTTAGGTAGGAATCTGGTCCCAAAAAGGTCTTTATCAAGCATCTGTCCATCACCCTCATTTCATCATGAGGAAACAAAGAATGACTATGGATTTCCATTATGGTGTAGTAACAGGTACACACACACACTCTGATATTATGACTAGCCTGACAAGGGGCATGGTGGTACACCCTTGTAATTCCAGCACTCTGGGAGGTCAAGGCAAGAAAATACCAAGTTTGAGCCCAGCTGGACAAATTAGCTACTTGGGATCCTGCCTCAAAACAAAAATTTTTTTTTAAGGGCTGGAGATGTAGCCCAGAGCAAATGACTTGAGTTCAATCCCCAGGAAAAAAAAAAGACTATACTGACTCAAATTTCAATTCCACCACTTAACCATTTATCAGTCCAATTATTTAAATATAGAATGACCAAAAATTGTATTTTTTATTAGTTTTTATAAGATAACAAGAAATTGCCAGGGATTTAGCTCAGCGGTTTGGTCGCCTGCCTTGCAAGTGCAAGGACGCAAGTTCAATCTCCGGTACAAAACAAAAGATAACAAGAAATCTAAAAGTGACAGTTATATTAAATTTACTCAATATAAGAATTGATTGATACAGAAGATCCTAATAAGACTACTGACATTGAGAAATGGGAAGAAAGGAGCTAAAGGTGTAGGGAAGGTAGGATGGGCAGGGGAAGGGTAAAAAGGGAAAAGAAAAAAATGTGAGATAATGAAAAGATGGAAATAAAGTGGTTGCAGATGGGGAGGGGAAGAGGGGGTAAAGGGAGGGCAGGGACAAGGGGAAAAAATGAGAACCAAGACTTGTCATGTAGGGGTACAAGATCCCAACAATGAATGTAACTGTACTGTATCCCTAAAATGTACCAATAAACTCAATTAAAGCTGAAAAAAAAAAGAATTGATTGAAATGACACCTGCCCGAGTGATGCTCAGGAGTCAGTACTTAAACACACTGCACAAGTGATGCTCTGGGTAAACTGTTAAGGGGTGGATGGTCATGTGCCTAAGAAAAGCTACCTAACCTAAGTTTTCATTTCCTTTTATGTAAAATGAAAATACTAACAAGAGAGATCTACAGGGTTAATGAATTAAATGAGGTTGTCTATGTGTACCACTCAGTACTGTGCTGGGCACCAAGTACTCAATAAATGTTATTACTGCATTCACTGTGCAGAGAAAAACACAGCTACTGAAGGACAGAGTTAAGACTCTCCTCTCAATTTTGAGTTTGAAACTTTTGATTATATCACTTCCCAGTCTGCCCACAATCCACTAACAGAGAGGTATACATGCTTATTCAGCTCTGATCACACTTACCCAGATATCACATTTGCCAGGAAAGAAGCGCTCAGGGATCCGGGCAGCGTAGAGGGCAGCCCCAGTGATATAGAGGCTGGCCATGAGCATCAGCCAGCCTATCTGCCCTATGGTGGCAGCCTTCAGGAAGCCCTCCGCAATGACATAGTGCAAGGTGGGGATGATTCCACTCAGGCCCAAGCCCACAAACACTCCTAGAAATCACGAGAGGAGAATAAAGTAAAAACACAACAGAAAGAAGTCAGTATTACAAAACAGCACTATTAATTCTGTAAATGGAAAATTCTAAAGTAGGATACAACATTAGCTTTTTGTTTTAAAAAGAAGGTTTTTCAAACTCTGAGACACCATCACACAAGACAAAACAGCTAATATTCCAAAGATCTATCTGCAAATCCAAGGAACCAAGGGTACAGTGATAGGGAACCTTTTAGTGCTTTCAGTGACACAAATAGCCCACTGTGGAATGCGTGCCTTAAGTCTGCTACCATTGGTTTCGAATTACGTTTAGTTCTTTATGAAAGGACAACTCTGGGAGTTTATTTAAACTTCCCCACAGGCTACCTTTAATACAAATTACAAAATAGAAAACTTACATATTTTTATTTTCTCTCTGAAGCAACAGAAATTATTTGCATGGAGAAAGCAATAAATGATCAAATAACCAGGGGAGGTAAGCAATATAATAAAGCTAAAATATGTCTAAGAGTAATGCAATCTAAATCAATGACCTAAAAATGGATACTGAAAAATTTTCAATGTCCTTCAAAAATGGCCTAACTTGTCACCTAAATAAATGGACAAAGAAGCATGTGCTTCTGAAAGCTCCCAGGTCCCCAAATAGCAATCAATTAGAGAACCTATAAAAATGGGGCTGGGGTAGCTCAACGGTAGAGTATGGGTTAGCATGTGCAAACTTGCATTCCATACCCAGTATTAGGGGCATGTGACAGGATCAGCATCAGTTGGCATAGCTAGCTGCTTTCAAAATCACCTGAAGCAGTATTTTTCAAATTTCTGGATATGACGTAGGTCAGTGATGGTGACCCTTTTAGAGCTGTCAATGATACAAACAGCCCACTGCGGCACATGTGTCATAGGTTTGACACCACTGCCCTAGGTTTTGAGATCAACTAAAGTGAAGAATTAGAATAAAATAAAACTTGAATGGTAAAGTAGTATTTTGTAAAAATTTTATCATTTATATGTACACAAGTTTTTACACATGTTTAGGGTTCTACATCCACAGATCTAATGCCACTCTGATGTTTCAACCCAAGCAATTATTTGTTTCAGCTATAAGTGCTCCTATATTTTGACAGGCAGAGATAAGAATGACCCTTATAACACAAACTGTCACTTGGTAAGCTTTCTGAAATAGAGCACGAGCCTATTTCTTGCTCTGTGCATTACAAATAAACTGCAGTATACAACACTATATGCAGGGACAGGCACAGGATACATACTCAAAATGAGCATTTAAAAGATAGGAGGAAAATAACAATATTCAATTCACAGAAGACAAGAACCAAACAGGCCTAAATAAAAAGTTTATCCCACTTCTACTTTTCTCTAAAGACATATCACCATGATCCTGTTCTTGTTATTTTCCTCTGTATAATAAGCAAAGTCACTAATGGTCTTGCCTTTCATTCTCTAAGTCAAAGGCACAAGAATGTGGTTGGTTCTTCCGATGTATATAAATAACAGAACGCTCATGTCTACTCAGCAAAGACGTTCTTATCTCAAGCGCTTAAGCAGGCTTAACACCACAGAATTACTGAAGGACTACCAACAGCCAACCCTGCCTACTGTTTATTTTCCCAGATGAACACTAACAAAAGGAGGAGAGGGCAGAGTGTTACAAAAGTGCACATTAAACATAAGGTTAATTCTACTTCATGCATTAGGTAACTGCAGATGAACCATTATTATTTTTTAAGGTTCAATTGAAATACTGCTTACTCAATCTCAGAAGGCAAATGGGCTTTAACACTAGCAATAGGAAACGGAAGACAGAGTACTGGCTAGGAAGAATCCCAGTCTAGTTCAAGACAAAAATATCTCTTCTAACTACATACTCCAAGAATCCAATGTGTTAAGGGGCTTCTGGCCTTCCATAAGATCTCCTAAATTAAAAATTAAATTAAATTAATAAATACAAACACCTTTAATCTAAATCAGAAAAGATGTGCTTACTGCACTTTAAAAGAACACAATTAGTATGGGATAAAGACTTATTTACCTAAGGAGCATAAAAAATATCTTAAAATAAAAATATAAATAAAACAAAAATAAACAAAAAGAATCAATCACTACAAAATACAGACTAATCTGAAAAAACAAGTGAAATCATAACAGCAGAGCTGCCACCTTAGGGACAATGTACAGTCTAAAGTAAACATTGCCGCAAATCCATGCCCTCACCCCTTTACCCAACCCAACCCTATGCTTTAAGACAACCAGTGAGCTCAATTCCTCCTCCCATTGTGACTACTGTGCTAAAAGGTCCTTAACAACAGAAACTACAACTTATTTGTCTTCACATCACAGATAAATAGCGTAATGCTTGAGAAATGGTAGACCTTTAATAAATGGTGAATGAATGAAAGCCAATATAGAACTCCATGTGCACTTACCTGCTCTTACTCCTCGATACTGAGGGGTGGCAAACATGTCCCACTGGGAGACTATAATGGCTGCAATGCCCAGCACACAGATGACAATCAAGTAAATGAAGCAAGGTTGTGGGTTACAGTAGAAAGAATAATAAAGCCAAGGAACAAAACTTCCCATAATCAGGAGAGCAATACCAGAGTAATCCAGCCTAGGATTTAAAAAAAGACAAAGTCTAATGATAAATAGTACTGCCTTACAAATTATAATTAATCTCCCATGACATCAACAATAGCTAAAAGACAAACTAGGCTACCTGCTTTAATTTTTTTAAAGTTCCTAACAAGTGGTATCAACAAGTATTAATTCTGCTGGATATACTTCTCCCTAAACCACTGGCTCTAACTCACTGATCAGAATATGGACTATACAGATACTTACTTAGAGAAGAGCCGGGAGACTCCTTCTGAGTGGCAGTAGACTGTATGGAAAAGCCATGAAAACGAAAGGCAGAGAATGGCTCCCAAGAAAAATAATCCAAAGACTACTTTCTCTTGCAGAGGGGCCACAAAGGAAATATTTGGGCGGAACATATAAAAGATCCCCAGGCACAGGAAGAATACACAACCTAGGAAAAGAATGCAGGAGTCAAAAATTCTTTTGAAGAGACAGTTGTTTTTTTGTTTTGTTTTTGTTTTTTTGGTACTGGGGATGGAAATCAGGTCCTTGCGTTTGGAGCCACTGAGGTACATTCTCAGCCCTGAAGAGACAGTTATACATTGATTATGTTTTCAGTGGCCATGATGAAATGTGAATCAAAAATTCCGTGAGGAAAAAAAAAAAGAGTTAAGATGTACTATGTACAAGTACAAATTCACCAAGAGGAATGTGATCATTGTGTATGGCAAACATGTACTATTTTTAAAAAAAGAAATAAGGGCTGGGGATTTAGCTCAGTGGTTCTGCCACCTGCCTCACAAGTACAAGGTCCTGAGTTTGAACCCCGGTACCAAAAAAATAAAGAAAGAAAAATAAAGAAATAAAGACGACATTGCACTAAAAAAAAAAAAAGTTCCATAAGAAAAAATTCTCCAAATAACTGAGACTTATTCAAAATTTCAGTTTACTTCAAATATTTTTGGTAATGACATAGACTTCAGCTTCACAAACTGAGTATACAGAATGTAAGTTACTCATCTAGGGGCATAATCCAAAAAGAAGTCAGACAGTGCTGCTACCTCTTAGATCCAGTATAAAATTTCACTGATTTTTAAAAAATGTTTGTCATATATATATATTCTGCTCTCAAAAGTCCATTTTGCTTTCACTTTTATTTCTGCAATGAATTCTGATACTTTAAAAAGCTGGACAGGAAATAGTTTCCTCCACCAACAGCTGTTGAGGAACATTGTGCTGCTTCTCCGGTCTCATCAACGGCCCCACAGTTCAAGAATGAGGAATAGTAAAGTACCTATTCTGGCCATTTCATACCAGTCCCTAAATTGATCTCCACAGTGAGATAACCAAGCTTTTACTGCTTAGGAAAGTACCATTTGACACAGGATGGCACAGACACTTAGAAATTAAACACTCACTAAGTGATCGCTTTATCATTTTAATTAAAAACTATTCTTCATTTAAGAGGTCAGCAACAATCTTCATTTGATTCTCTTCTATTCTCATACAACTAGCAGTCAAAAACTAGAAGCACAGCCATCAAATCTGTGATAAAAAACACAAGTCAAAAGGAGTAAGGCTTGAAACTACTTAGTACATTCTCAAGTTTACACAACTATCACCACTACCTAACTCTAAAATATTGTCATCCCCCTCAAACACAAGTCCAGTTCCTATTGTCACACCCATTCCACTCCCCTCAGCCCTAGATATCACCATCTGCTTTGCCTATATGGACTTGCCTCTTCTGGATAGTTCACATACATGCAATTATATAATCACGGAGCCTTCTGTGTCTGATTTCTTTCACTTAGCTAATGTTTTCAAGATTTGTTCATGTTGTAATTCATTATCAGCATTCTATCCCTTTTTATGGCCACTGTATGGCTAATTCTCTCAACCACTGTTAGATATCTGGCTTGTTTCTGCTTTTTTGTTATCATAAATAAAATAATGTTGCCATAAATATTCTGGTGCATGTTTTTATGTGACTATGATTTCAATTATTTTGGATATATACCTCATTGTGGAACTGATGATAACTGATAACTCTTCTGAACATTTTGGAGAACTGTCAAACTACTTTCCATGGAGGCATCCCCATTTTACACCCCTACTGGCAATGTACATGTGTTCCAATTTCTCTTCATCCACACCAAGACTTTCTTCCATTTTCTTGATTATGGCCATCATAGCAGTAGTGAAGTGGTATTTCACTGCATTTGATTTGTATTTCCTTAAATGATAATAAACATCGTTTTATGTGCCTACTCGTCACTTGTGTATCTTCTCTGAAGAAATGTCTACTCAGAAGTTTTGCAAATAGGACAAACTAGGTTGTTTTATTGTTGAGTTGTCAAAGCTCTTTACTAGACCCTTAGCAATATAATAATTTGCAAATAGTTCCTTCCACTCTATGGATTGTCTTTTCACTTTCATGATAATGTTAATATACACAAGCTTTTAATTTTGATAAAGTCCAATTTATCTACTTTTTGCTTGACTTAGATATCAATTCTAAGAAATTTGCTCAATCCAAGGTCAAGATTTACATCTATATTTTCTCAATGCTAATTTTGTATGTGGCATGAGGCTGGAGTCCAACTTCATTCTTTTCATACTGATTCTCAACCACCCCAGTAACATTTATTGAAAAGACTTTTCTTTCCCCCTATTGTATTTTCTTTTTCTTTAATATATAATTATGGTAGGGTGTTGCGGTACGTGCCTATAATCCCAGCACTTGGGAGGCTGAGGCAGGAGGATTACTGTGAGTTCAAGGCCAGCCTGGGCTACATAGTGAGTTCAGGCCCAGCCTAGACTATATAGGTGACCCTGTCTCAAAAAACAAAGAAAAATAAAATCATCATGTGAAAATATTACATTTCATATTCTATTTCAAGCCAATGTGAAATTTAACTATAATATTCTAAGTAATGACTTAAAAAAATCAGCTTACTTATAGCAAATAAAACCCTCCTCTCACTGATTCTGATGATATTCTACCACATTTTGTTTTGTTTTTTTTTTTTTGGTACTGGAGATCAAACTCAGGACCTTGAGCTTTTGAGGCAGGCAGCGGAACCACTGAGCCAAAATCCCTGGCCTTCTACCACATTTTGTATAGCAAACTTTTCCTTTGTGTGGTTTGAGGACATTGTCTAACAATCTAGGAGAGACAATTTTGACTAACTGTAATAAAATCAGTGTAAACTAGAATAAGCAAAGAGTAAACAAATGAGAAAATTCATCATTAGAAATCCAAGGGGGAAATCTAAAATCCCAATGCACTCTTAAAGTCTAACTTTATCCCCAAATACATGAAAATAAGAGAATCAAATGGGGCGCCAGGTATAGTTCTGCACACCTGTAATCCCAGAACTCAGGAGACTGAGGCAGGAAGATCGTTGTCAGTTCAAGGCCAGACTGACTACACAGTGAGTTCAAGTCCAGCCTGGACTACAAAGTAAGACTTTGTCTCCAAAAATTAACAATAATAATAATAGTAATAATAAAGTGGATCACCACATCATTATACCACTGACATTGCATACCTAAGAGATGTGTCCAGATGTTGCCTGTTTCGGTGTGTATTCTGAAAATGCTCTTAAAGCAGGCCCGGAAAGAAGGCATAGGCGGCCGGTGTCCATGTAGAAGAAAGTCATTATCCTTAAGCCAGTCTGGCAGCACATCGTGAGGGATCACTCGCCATCGACCTTCCCATACCTGGAAGAGGGGTATTATTGAACATTTTTGATTTTCTAAATTGTTCACTTACAACACAGCCCCAAGCAACTCTCTCTCTCACTAGGAAAAATAATTAAAAATTTTAAAGCAAATATATTCAGAATGTAAAATGTCCCATTCTAAATTCTTACAAAACAGACTGATAAAACACATATATCATTTAAATGGGGATCCTTCTCAGGGAAAGGAAAGAGTAAACAAATTTACAGAATATTCCCTAGAAGAGCTCTGTTTCAGTGTGAGTAAAGAGTAAGGGGCCCAGAGTCCCACTCATACAGACACTTCTGCATTTTTCCACAACAGAAATCTGTTATTAAATACGACCACTTTTGGGCTGGGGATTTAGCTCAGTGGTTCCGGCGCCTGCCTCGCAAGCACAAGGGCTTGAGTTCAATCCCCGGTACCCAAAATCTAAATATAAATAAATAAATAATAAGACCACTTTTATATTTAATACTCATGCTGGCAGAAAGAGAACTACGTAGAATCACACTTTTATGCCCTTTGCAACCGCCCTCCCCCTTCTCTTTCTAACACAACAAATATGAAGTAGAAAAGACAAAGAGGTAAAAAAATTCTTGGATCTCAGACATTAACAAGTTGTATGAGCTTTCATCAGTCACAAATGTCTAAGCTTCAGTTTCTTCATTTTTAAAATGAAAATAATAGTGCTTCACTTAATAAAGAAATTATAAGAACTAAGTAAAATGGCCTGAGGACTCCATAAATGAGTTAATCCCTAGGAACCACACCAAAGGAAACACATCTCATTTTAACTGTCCCCAGGGGCTATCACCTTTCTAAAAATAAGTTAGTGACAGAAGCTGGGTGTGGTGGTACACACCTCTAACCCTAGCACTCCAGAGGCTGAAGCAGAAAGATTGCTATAAAATTTGAGGCCAGACTGGGCTACACAGTGAGTTCAAAGCCAGCTTGAACTACAGAGTGAGACCCTGTTTCAAAAAAAAACTAGAAAGAATGAACAAATGAATGAATGTTAGTGCAACCTCTGACCCTTCCTTCTCTTTCTGCACTGACAGCAAAGAAACTGCATCTCCACAGCCCTTCAAGTGCCTCATCCCCCTTTCTTCTAATTTCCTGCTATAGCTCCCCAGTGACTTTTAGAGGAAAAAGGGTTGGGGATTTGGTATTGCCTCCTGTGCACATCTGTCCACCTCTATACTGTTTATTTTAATGTCTCTCAGCCCAGAAAACTGACACCATAATGACAACTTCATTTAGAAATTATGTGTTTCTGCTTGCCAGAAAGTACAAAAAAAAAAAAGCCAGGCACATGGGTCTACCTTCCAGTTAATGAGGGCTCAACAGTGCTTCTAGTCTATTACCCTATAAGCAAGAACTTCTACAAATCATCAGAGCTGACTGACAAAGACTTCCATCCCTATCCCCAAAGAGTCTTTGACAAACAAAACAGCTAAGCCACAGAAACTTGGTTCCCCTTCTCTCTACAATGCAGAAAAGTTGCCAATTTATTTGCTAGCTACTATGCGTTCCTTTCACCCCTTATCCTGCTTTCTGTTCTCTGCTCTTCTACCTCCTTACTGACATTTGTAAAACAATGGATCCTCTATATAATACCTCCTCTATCTCCAAAGAAAGTGAGTGACCCTCTTAACATTATCAAATCAATCTCTCTCTCTCTCTCTCTCTCTTTCTCTCTCCTCCTCTCCTTTTCTACTTCACCTGCAAAATGAAAACCATCAAGGGACCTCAATACTGGTATTCGCCTGGCCAATCCGTGTATGTTTCTAACACATAATAAAACAATGCTAAAAGATTAACCTAGGTCATTAATGTCTACTGCTAAAAGTTCAGTCACCCCACAGCATCCAAGGGGGGACTGCTTCCAAAATCCTCTGCAGATACCAAACTCAGTAGATGCCCTAGTCCTTATATAAAATGGCACAACATTTGTATATAACCTATGCACATCCTCCTTCAAATTATCCCTGGATTACATATAATACCTAATACAATGTAAATGTTGTGTGAACAGTTGTTACACTGTATGGCTTTGGAAACGAAAATAATGACAAGAGAAAAAGTATTCATTTAGTTTTTTGTTGTTTTTGAAAGAGGTCACAGTACATTGACCAGGTTAGTCTTGAATTCATGAGCTCAAGTGATCCTTCCATCTCAGCCTCCAGGGCTGCTGGGACTACAGGCACAAGTCAGCTCACCAGCTCTACTTGTTTATGCAAAGATGTGAAACCCATGAATACAGAGGGCCAACTGCACTGCACTACCAGTTGTAAAAGTAGCTGTGTGGAATCTTCCATAGAACTGTATTAGGAAAGAGGAGAGAGCAAAAGACCCCAAATTTTTTATATTAATTTGAAAGAGGTACATTATTGCTGAGATTAACCTTGGAAAAATGGTGCTAGTTTTAACTAGATGTATTTAATCTCTAAGAGGAAGAGGAATAGAAATTCAATCCTTGCATCTCCAAAACAGTTCACCCCATACAATTGTTCTGCTATGACTACATCAGAAGTGCTACTGTGCTATATACATCAACAAAACAGTCAAAAACATCCTGTTCATAGAAAGAACAGATTGAAGTTTCTTACTAGCCACATATGCATTAAATGTCAGTGTGATTTTCCCCACTGTTTCTAACATTCTAGCAATCTAAATCATTCTAGCAATCCAACTACTGGGCCAGGGAACTGGACTTCATATTTAGCAGACTGTATCCTCATTTTCAAGCAGGGAATCATATGCCGCCACTCAACTGCCAAAACAAGTAGGTATTCTCCTATTCAGTAGGGGGAACAAATTAGGGTCACAGAATTATTTATAAATAAGTTTGACTAAGATACTGTCTAAATCAAACAACTATGGTCCACTGTGTTTGTACTAGACTCTAGAATGTATACACACACACACACACCCCAAATTTGGTCACTACCATCCTTATTCCTACATGAGCCTAACTATGCTGGTAAAACAGCAAAAACCAAAGTCTGAAAAGAGTCTAAGATCAAACTGAAAACTCTAAAGACTAACCTATTTTTTTATTGCCCCTCTTCCTGTAAGAAAAGCTTTCTCAAAAGAGAAGGTACAACAGGACACCCATGGCACACCTCATTTTAAACTGTTTATTTGTTTTCACTCCAGGAAGCCAAATGATGGTATCAACAGACTTGGCCAGTTTTCAAGCAATGTCAGTTGCACTGCCACCGCAAGATGGAGCAACACTGAGGACACTGTGGTGGGTGCCTCTCCATTCTGCTCTCACAGAACGGGGTACTCTTCTGCAGTAAATGACAGTGCAGCACAGGTAAATGCCTACCCCTATCTATTCACCCATTGGCTCTTAAGTTAAAAAGTTTTATGTGCTGTATTTTTAGCTCTTGGTTCAAAGAGAAAATGAATAGGTAGTTGGGTCAGCTGCACTATCCCACTAATCTATAAATGGTAAATTTCCCTTAGTAGTCCAGACATTAAGTACACAACTTTAAGAGATTTCTTTCTTCACACCAAATTTGTTTCTGAAAAGCAAAGACCTTGGTACCTGTCATTAATCGGTTCCAGGAGGCATAACAAGTACCACAAAGGAAAGTACCAAACAAATTGTTATGGCTGGAAAGAGTAGGAGTCACGAGGCAATTGATACGAAGTTCTCGATGACACCAAGTTATAGCTTGCTCAAGGAGTGCCAAACAAACAACTAGTACCAGAGCACTGACTACGTGACAGGTTTCTTGAAAGGTATGACTGTCATCTGCTGTATCTCTGCTAATTCTCCTAAGACAGGAATCACAAAAAGGAATCTATTGTTTGTTTTGTTTTTTCTTTTTTGGTTTTTTTGAGATAGGGTCTCCCTATGTAGCTCAGGCCAGCCTTGAACTCACTAGGTATCCCAGGCTGGCCTAAAACTTGCAGTGATCTTCCTGTATCAGCTCCTAAGTGCTGGGATTACAGTGGGGGCACCATCATGCCCAGCTGCTACGCTTTTCTATCATCAATTTTTCAAATACTAATTGAGATTGCCTAGGCTCTATACAGACCTCGTAAATGTTTACACTTTCTTCCTTAGTCCCCCACCCTGCCCTTAGTTTTGGAAAGGGTGCCTATGTTCAAATCATAATGTTCTCTTTTCATCCCTGATCCAATGCATAATATTCTAAGTCAACTGGTCTCAGTTATTTCCAGCATCATTGTGAATGAAGGAAAATCTAAATTTAGTTTTCAGGATCTAAAACTGTAAGAATAAAAAATTTTGGTTTCGTAAAACCCATGAAGTTACATGTCATAAAAATTTCTCTCTAAATAATCAAGTTCTTGGGCCAGGGATTTAGCTCAGCGGTTCAGTGGCCTGCCTTGCAAGCGCAAGGACCCATGTTCAATCCCTAGTACCAAAAAAAAAATAATAATAATAATAATCAAGTTCTCTAAAAATTTTAAATAAATTGATAACATATAAACATACAGAAAGATTTACACTGAGTGGAGATCATATCTGCCAAAATTCTTACTGATCTGATCAAGTTCCTACAAATTTAAAGATGTCCCCATTTTCTCTAAGCAAGTAAGCAACTCTAGTTTTCATTTTAGAAAGAAAATAAAATTATAGAATAAGTCCCAGGAAATCAGAAAATGAACTGAAAGAAAAACCTTAGAGACAGAAAATATACTAACTTAAGTGAAAATACTAGGTGTACAAGAAAACTGGGAAATTTCTATCTCAAGAGTAGTTTGACTATTCATAGAATCCTAAAAAGAACAGCAGGTTTACCATCCAAGTCAAATAGCAAAATATATCACGGAGACTAAGGGTGGCTCTTCCCACCCCTCAACTTCTCCCACCCACACCCACACACCACAGTAGTGGGGATTAAACTCAGAGAAACCCCACCACTGAGCTATATCCCTAGCCTTTTCTACTTATATTTTAAATTTTGAGACAGGGTCTTGCTAAATTGCACAGGCTGGACCTAAACTTGCAATCCTTCTGCCTCCGCCTCCCAAGAAGCAGCTATGTCCTGTCATTCCCAGCTAGAGACAGCATTTTAATATCTCCAATATCAACCACTCCTAACTTAGTTTCATCAACAAGACATTTAGGCTGTTAACCTGTATCAGAAAAGGTTTATTTCCCAAATGGATATTCCAAGTTTATCAGAACTTTATCAAAGCTGCTGCAAGCAAACAAACATACTGTGCCTTGAAGAAGGCTGAAGTCATGAAACCACTTCTGTCCTCATCTTACCATAAATTTTCCAGAGCAAAGCAAAGGCCAAGGCACTACCAATCTCTTTAAACAGCTTCTGTTTGGGAAGGACTAATTGGATATAGTATGGAAATAATAAAAAGAAAACAACAACAACAAAAACACTTGAATCTGCTGGGCGTGGTGGCACACACATGTAATCCCAGCACTTGGGAGGCTGAGACAGGAGGATCTTTGTGAGTTCGAGACCAGACTGGACTACACAGCGAGTTCCAAGTCAGTCTCAACTATGTAGTGAGACCCTGTCTCAAAAAAACCAAACAACAAACAAACAAACAAAAAAACACTTGAATCTTACCTTACAAACAAACTCTTCCATTCTTTCCATAGCATGATGGGCTTGTAAGAGGGGGGACATGCCCATGAAGCCCTCATCCTCCTGAGAAGTGTCATCATTGCATTCATGTTCCTCAGAGATCTACAAGGCAACCACAGAAACAGTCAAAAACAGAAAGGAGTCAAATGTCAGAATCAACGTACTTTCCTTGCAGAATTAAAATGAAAAAAATTTAAGGTCAAAATTAGGCGTCAGCCCTATGGTAAGTAAAGTCAGCCTATTATAGTTGCTCAATTCTTTTGGCAGATGAATGAACAATCTACTCCAATAGTACCCCTATGTTTGTTTCAGTAGAAAATTGCTGGAGTAGATTTACTGGTTTCTTTTTGGTTTTAGGAATCATTAGGAATAATTTTCACACAGTATTATATAAAACTGAGAAATTACTGAGGGGAAAATCTCCAAGAATCCCACCTGGTACATATAAAATAACTGTAATATAATGTGGTAAGTATTCTAGGGACAAAAGATGAGAGAACATTTTCTTAAGGTGGTGCTGGAGAAAGAACCCATGGCCATCTAAATTCTAGGCAAGTGCTCTGCCACTGATCTAACACACTCATCCAACATTTACTTGATTTTTAACAAACACAGAGGAAAGGGCTTTACAGAGGTCATCCAGCTTAATCCTAATAACCACCTTATTCAATAAGTATCTTCATCCTCATTTAACATATAAGCATATTTGGTAAGAAGGTTAAATAAATCACCCAAGCAAGGTTAAAGATAATAAAATAGAAATGTAAAAAAAAAAATCCACATCCTTTAAGAATTAGTCCAGAAACCTGGAGCAAAAAGTAACAATCTGATAATATTTTTTTCCATTAAGTTTATTGGCACATTTAAAGCAAACAATACAGTTACATTTATCATTGGGATCTTGTACCTTTACATGATACATCTTGGTTCTTGTTTTTTCCCCATACCCCTGCCCTCCCCTCCCTTCACCCTTCCCTATTTACAAAGACTTTGTTTCCACTTTTTCACATTTTTTCTTTTCCTTCATTTCCTTTCCCCTCCCTTTCCACTTCCCCTTTAGCCATTTCTTCCTATTTCACACTCCTAATTACACCATTTGAACCTTATTTACACTTTTAGTTTTTCACACCAGAGAAACTATTCAGTATTTACTCAAGTATGTCCTATTTATTTCACTTAAGAATATAGCCATAACCAGGAGTGGTGGTGCACGCCTGTAATCCTAACACTCAGGAGGCTGAGGCAGGAGGATCACTGTGAGTCTGAGACCAGCCTGGGCTATAGTGAGTTCCAGATCAGTCTCAACTCAACATAGTGACACCCTGTCTCAAAAAAAAAAAAAAAAAAGAGTATAGCCTCAATGTGCATCCATTTAACTATAAATGTTTCTAGTTTCTCTTTCTTTATGGCTGAGTAGTATTCCATTTTATAGGAAAACCGCATCTTTTCTATCCAGTCTCCAGTCGATGGGCCCCTTTAATCTGATAATATTTTAAGGATTAAATTACTAAAATTAGACCATTCTTCCAGACCACTCGTAGTTTAGGCAAAGTACTATGAAGGCAACGAACAGGAAGTTAGGAATATAGGTAGCAGGCCTTGGTTCTACCACTAACACTGATAGATTTTTTTAAGCAGGTCTCTCAATCTCCCTCAATTTTAATTTAAACCATCTCTACAGTCTCCATCTCTAAAATTCTGTATGATTGTAACTCAATGAATGATGACAGCACAAGAGACCTGTAATTCCACATCTAAGCAAGAGTCTACTAGACAAACAGTGCCATTAACATGACTGCATAAAAAAACTGATCCTCACCTCTGATCTGAAACTAAATGAGTAAGAATGAACATGCAAAAGCAATAGGGAATCTTGGCACAGTACTCTGAATCTGAACAAATTTAAAAGAAACAGATTTTCTTTTCTTCCTCTTCATTTTTTAAATATACTAACTAGAGGATATTATGCAACATGATCTTTGACTCTAAAAAAGTATATTCTTCTGTTTGCTTACCTAAAACTTACCTACCTCTGCTTCAATGCCAATCCCCAACATTGTCTTTACAACTCTTCCCTAACTACCCTAATCTAGTATTTCTCAATCTTTCATTACTACCAGCCCTATCCAGAAACATTGTTGCTTATATCAACTCCATGACTTTTTTTTTTTTTTTTTTTTGGAGACTGGGTCTCACCAGGTAGCTCAGGCAGTCCTTGAACTCACTTTGTAGCCCAGGATGGCCTTGAACTCATGATCGTCTTGCCTCAGCCTCCTTGTACTGGGATTATAGGCACTCAGGCATGCAGATCACTATGTGTTAGGTATGGTAGTCTTGTGGAAAGCTTTCAATTATAGTTAGTTTCTACTCCTCCTCAGATTAATAACCTACTGTCACCAGAGAATATATATATAGCATCTGTCTCCTTTCCTGAACCTTTCAGCACTTACCTCTGTGCCCTTCCCCTTGACAACTAAAACAGACATCTGAAAGATAACAGATTATAGTTCTTGTGGGTTATTTTTGTCTTACATTGTTTTAATTTGGATTGTGTTTTGTTTTGTTTTAGTGTATCACTGCCTAAATTAAACTTACAAGTCTGCTTATCTTCTTCACGATGGCTTCCAGAACATACATATATAGCAGCTAAATCAATGACTACTTTAAAAGATTTTTTTAAATGTTGTGCCTAATTAAATATAAAATTTAAAGCCAGATAAGATGGCACACAGTGTAATTCCAGCACCTGGGAGGCTAAGGCAGGAGGACTGCTGCAAATTCAAAGCCAGCATGGACTACACGGTGAGTTCAAGGCCAACCTAAATTACATAGTGAGATGCTGTCTCAAAAAAATTTTTTTAATTCCATTAAAACATGAGTTATATGAAACTTGAACACAGGCAACAGCTTGAAATGATTAGTGATTGATTATAAATTATATATAAAATAGTGCAAATATTTATGTATGTTCAGCATGTACTGGATTCACAAAGAAAAGTAGGAATTCAATCTTTATTCTTACACAAATAAATTATGTTAGTGGTTTCAAAACTACAAATAGGCACCTAAGACAGACTATAGCTAAATGCTTCCTCTACTATCATAAGTAAAATCTGGTAGAAATGCAGACAATCTGAAACATCAGGGGATTTACTTATAATCAGTAATTCTGAATATCAGGGAAAGTGCATGAGGATTCACAGGGGATTACCAATAGAAGAAGGTAGGTTAGTCTCACTAGTCAGAGAAAAGATACTTCACATACTTAATACTCCCTTCAAGAAGGAAAATTAAGACAGTTGCCTCTTCCACTAGGCATATGCTATCATACAGATTTATAGGAAAGAGAAACGGTTCAACCAATCATAGGAAGGGAAGAGGAACAAGGAATAGCTTTGTGTCTTCAGCAGTACTAACACATGTTTACTGAAAGGAAGCAGAAGTATACCAAGAATGTAGAATCTATAATCTAGGATGAACACCAGTGAGGAATCAAGAGCACCGTCTATATGTTAAGTATATTTCAGGAATAGGTAGCTTGCCATAAATGCTAAAATGGATTAAGAGTGAATTTTGAAGACAATTACTGATACATCCAATATTCTTTGGCAAATTTACAATCTTTCTAAGCTTCAGTTTCTTTAGTCATAAAAAAGGCTTTAACAATATTATATCCACACTGCAAGTCTGTTTGATAATTAAAGATAATGAGTTAAAAAAAAAAAAACTACCATGGGCCCTGAAACTCAGGAAGTAGTACATAAATGATTATCTTTAACATGGCTAGGTACTAAGTACAGTAAGGTAGAGTATCACAACCTACTGGAGAGAAACATGCAAACAACATACAGCAGTAAGCTAGAGAAAAGTAAGAATAAGGTCTTCTAACACAAAGTTAATTGTTTTTGAAAAAAAACAAAACAAAATCCTAGAATATGGCAATTTACCAGGGCTGCTACAAAAAATAAACGTGGCATGAGGCTAAAAACGATAAGGAAACAAATGTCCATCCATATACCAATAAATAACATGTGGCAAAGGCATAAAATAGACAATTTCTTGGCCATAAAAAGAAATGTAACTTGGATATACACTACCACATGGATGACCCTCTCATATACTATGCCAAGTCAAAGATGCTATATTCAAAAGGACAAGTACTGTAGCACTTCACTTAAATGAAGTATCTAGCATAGACCAACTCACTGAGACACAAAGTAGATGTGAGATTTCCACACACTGGGGTGAAGAGGAATGAAGTACAGAGTTTCTGCTTGGAGTAATAAAAAATTGGAGGAATAGTGATGATCACACAATACCGTGAATGTACTTAGTGCTAATGAGCTGTATACTTTAAAATGGTTTAAATGACAGCTTTTATATTCTATAATGTACTGTACTACAATAAAAATGAAGATTGGGAGGAGAGTTCATAGCAGTGTTACTCATAATAATCAAAACCCTGCAACAATTCAATTGTGGACCCCTCAAAAGAATCTATAAATAAGTGACATATTCATTTAATGTAATATTTATTCAGTAATAAAAAGAACTACATACATGCAAACCAACATGGATGAGTAGTAAAAACATGTTGAGCATAATTCCATTTTTATTACTTAAGAAACAGGTAAGAGAAATCCATTATGGTAGGAGTCAGAAAGGAAGGTGACCAAGAGATGGAGGGGGGCAGCAAGGAGAGGAGGGGAAGTAAAAATAATTAAGATGTGTTATGCACAAGTACTGGCTTCCCATGATCATGTACTGAAAACATGTAATACTTTTAAAAAATGATAGGAGACAGAAAATGGTAATGGCGTAGAGGTAGCTTACTAACATAAGGGCATAATGGAGATCTTTTTTCACCATGATCAATTTTATTAGGAACCAAGAGCCACTTCCAAAGCCTTTAGAATGACCCAGAGCTGAAGCCCACAGACAGAAGAGCTGCGTGGTGGCTGTGTGCTGGTTATATACATATAAAGTGTCACAACAGTTGAATAACCCTGCTCTAAAAAGAGGTCAGAGAGGGTCTTTATAACTAACATAAATGCCACAGAACATTATGAATTCCTATCAGAAAAAAAATATTTTGTTATTTA